AGTGCAAAATGGACTTTCGTGTGGCTTAAACCAATCCAGGTGTTGCCAAGGTAATCCATGTGTGCAAACTTAAATTTCTTTAACTGAAAGTTGTCCGATTGTTGCCTCGCTTCTTTGCAGGAGGTCTTAGTCCAGACACAACCTTGATCACTCTACAACCCCGACACAGGCAACCCCTTTTCCACAACAGTTCCACTCTTGGATTAAATCATTTTTAGGACCATTTAACTCCTGATTTTGCCGAAAACAGGGTCAAGGCATGCAGTGTGATGGTACGTTATCGTCTTCACCATTATTGTGGCGCGTCAAGCAAAAGAAAGCACGGTACTGCGTGTGGACGTACGTGTGTGTTGGGTTGGAACAGAAATCTCCCCAAACATCCCATTTCTTTTGGGGAAGTAAATTGGCGACGAAAGTGCAAATGCAATGATTGAACCTACCTGGCAGCATGATTACTTGAAAATTCTCTTTTAGGGAGAAACACCTTTTAGACAAAATAATATGACCTTGGGTCTTCATTATAGATTTTGGCGAAACATACAAATTGTGAATTCCAGCCATTAATATTGACTCCGGCTTGCTAGTTCGCTCAGATAACGTGGAGGCTTTATCGATCGCCTCACTGTGTGGCCAATTCCGCGGTTATAATTGCGTAAACGAAATTGTGAAGGAACCAGCACCGCAATAACGTCTACTTTACACACCAATTTTAGCTCTCGTCAGCTAAATCTTGGAACAGCAGTTAAAAATTTCTTTTAAAGCTTATTGGTGCTTAAATCAGGCGGCATCTCGTATAGCATGGTTTAAACATTCTGTGATTAATTATACGTCCCCTCTTGAAGTTGGAGAACAGAGTAAGCAGTGCTCGATCGGGTGATTTAAATTTACGATTTATTGTGGCAAAATATCCAGATTTTCTACAATGGCCTTCATATGGATTTCCACCGGATTTCCGATGGTACGAAATCACGCAATTACTTCAACGTGAAATTTGAAAGTCATGTTTCGTTGTACGTTGCTACTGAGTCAGTTGGATACCTTTGGAAAAGGGAACCACCCAATGTCCTCTTGCTTCACAGATAATTACTCGCATCACAAGCTTATGTGAAATCACAAACGTAGCAAAATGACGAAGTATTTAATCAGAAAAACGCGTCCTTTAGTGCAAAAATAAGTTGGTACTTCCGTTAGTCATGTGTACATTCACAGACCCAATATTTAAAAGTCTCTTTTTGTCGAGCAATAATTTGGCCTTCATCTAGATTGGCTAAATTGTTGTGGCCGATTTGAAACTATCCAATAGAATTTTGCTGATATTACGTGCAAACCTAGCCTAACTGTTCAAAACCAATACTTAGAGTTCTGCGCTGTTTTCACTTCGATCAATAACACTAACATTGCTTACGTAGCGAAACGTATCGTCTAAAAGACAATCCAAAGCTAGCTAAACTTGACATGCTGATTCACTGAACGTTTGTTGAAGTAAGGCAAGATTAAAGTATTCCGCAGTTTCTATGCCTGAATTTTTCGTTAAAGTCACTCTTGATTACTCGGGTAAATACAGATTAAAGAGTCACGAAAATCTAGTCTCCGTTTGTGTCGTTGTTTTGCAAATTCCTAACGCGTGCGTTTAGCAGCTAAATTTTGACTGTGATGACCGCAACATGGAATAATCATTTTTGTGTCAAGGAATATGAAAGTGTGTAACAAGCAGACTACATTTCCCGCGACGAGATCCCTATTTACTACGAAGCACTGAATTCACATGGTAAATCCAGGTAAGTTCATTCGTGTCGCTAATCTGTTGCCAAGCCAGACAATCCAGGGGCTTTTGCTCAAGTTCGGCTGTACTTCAGACATCGCATTATCGATTTTTGTGCATTGACTCGGGCTTACAAGCAATGTGACGAGCAGTGTCGTAAGTAAGGTTCATAAACGCTCGAATTTGCCGTGGCCCATCAATCATTCGCTCTTTTGTTGTTACGGTCTGTCATCGTCGGAAAATGCGACTAGGTGGCACATTTATCACAGTCTGTACTCACCACCATGCTATCTAACACGTAGAAATCCATGAATGGTCAAGCAAATTTTCAGATGTAATCAAGGAAACGCAGTTACCCTAGTAACATCAATTCTCGCATGAATTGGGTAGATTAATTTGTATTTGCTGCAACAACAGACGGTATTTTGTAGTTGTTATGTTTGTTTTGTGACAGGTAGATAAAAAAATTAACGATTGACACGATAAACAAACTAAAATCCCCAATGTGGTCTCAAAGCAACGATCGTCTTCCAAATGATTAGGTGTTTTGTAACACTCATTTATCAGCTTTTCCAAAATTGCTTTTAATTGAATGGACGAACACAAAATTTCGTGGGCAGCTGAGGCGGCAAATATCTCACTCGTAGAGAATATAACCATTTTTTCCACTTAGAAAAAATGACTCAAGACGTGGTTAGAGGATTCAACACTCACTGAGTATCGTTACAATGTACAGAAAAACAACTAAAAATCACATGTTTAAAGTTGAAAGTGGAAATTAGCTTTGAAAAAGTGCCTGGGCTGAAAAAAAAATACCGAAGCACAGTTGATGACAGAGTTTGTGGGGTTTGACCTCGTTCACGAATTTGATTGGCGTGTAAGCCTTCATTTCTAACATTTTAAAATAATATTTTGTTTACGGCTAACGTGTTCATTCGGCGTGTGTGAGGGTACCGGCTGCGGCAGAAATGCTTGCCATCAAAGGTGTCTGGTAGCTATAGGAATTTGCCCTAACAAAGATAATTTATTTCCGGAGTCGCGGCCAGGGGCACACTTTTGATCAGCAAATAACTTCAAAATCCAGAATCCAATTATTGGTCAAGGCCCAAGACATAACTCTCTTAAATGTTTTTTTGTTATTCGAAACACGTCTTTAGGCCACCAACACCTAGTCATGATCCAACCACCATTCGTGAAAGTGATTCTGTGGAACCTTTTCCATGAGCGTTCTGAACCGATTTAAAAAAACCTGATTAATGTAGAATGTTTATAACGTTTCAGTCTACGCCTTGAAATTACCACTGTGTACTGCCGTGTTCCTCTACTTTGAAATCGATCAAACTGCCAGGGACAACAAATAAAAACAAAACGTTTGTTTTAAAGTTCTCGAGTATCCCTACTACTACAATTAATGAAAAATAACTTTTACGGTGTAAAAATACATAAACACATGACTTTTTGCAGTGAATTCGGTCAAATGAGCATTACCAGGTTTAATTTCAATTAAATTCCTAACACATTTTATGCGATATCGTAAATACGAGAGACCTTAGTCAATGTCTATTCACGCACGCAAGTCTCAAATTTGTTTCGCGATCAAAGATCTGGCATGTGACATACCTTCAAATGAGCTTTTCGTAAATGTAACCATGGCAATAAAGTCATTAATTTAAACAGCATTAAAAATCTCTTCGCTAAGATCATGTGATCCCCAAGCACTTGCCACGTGGTTGGCAGGGCGGATAGCTTCTGATTGTTACTGCAACAACCCATATTTTCTATCACTACTACCAAATTCAAGTACAACCTCTTTTGAAGGAAATTAAAATTTTCCCATAGTTTTCACTAATTTTTTTAAACAAAAATCGTATAAATCAGAGGACATCATAGCTACCAGAAAAATGAGCTCTTCATTTTGACCCAAATCACACTAAATGTATTACGAATTCATGGAAACAAGTACCAGTTGTAACTTTTAAGAACTTGATTAATCATTGCCTGAGTTGACTTTTACAACGTTCAGCGTATTCTCCATAGAACACCCTTCAAAATATTCAGATTGTCTGGCTTTTGTTCGCGTATTAAAATCCCATAACAAACTGGGAACAAATGGAGGACAGGAGACTGTTTCAAGGACAGTTTATTCGCGTCAGTGGTGTGTCATTTATCTGAATATTTTAGCGTATTTTTCAAGCAACTGATAAAAGCAACCGGCGATAAAAAAAGGATTCCATTGACAATAATCAGCCTGCAAACAAATTTATTCACGCGTGTCAGCTGACGGTCGACTGCAATTTTTCGATCCTGGCAGAAGAGCGGAGATGTTAAAAGGAATAGAGACAACCGGAATACAATAGTTTAGCATTCTAATAAGTAGAACACATCTGTTAGGAATCGTGAAAGGACTAATCGATTTTCCAGTAGAATATAGGAGGAGTTGACTACAAATATTATGTGTCGATAAAATAGGTTGCAGATTGATGTAGGGCTCATTAAGAGTCTAGACTTCATTCACAGCATACATCACAGACTTCCTGCCAAACCTTTCATGACCTTATTTGTTTATCCGAAGGGCAGCTCAAAATCTCGCATTTTAAGCCGCTACTATGAACAAAGATAGAGCTTATGTGATAGGAATCTAAATGCCCCATTTGTGGACGCCGACCATGGATGGATGTAAAAATTAAAAAAAATTAAAATCGAAGTAAAAATATTATGTGCATCGTCATGTAGCATGTTTCTTTAAACTTATTTGCAAAAGAAATATGCTACATAAATCTATTCAGCCTTATATAAAGATAACAACTTGAGCACCCCTCTGCGCCAATTAAAATGTCTGTTAAAAATACAAAATCTGAAGCTTAGTATTATTTATATTGAACTGTAGCATTAAATGCTTGATCTACCCGTCGTAAAATGTTTTTTTTTTGAAATAACTTTTGCAAAGATTCAAAAAAATATGAAATATATTAGTGCACTCTTCAGTGACTGCTTAATTTTACATTCTCTGTAAATAATGAGGGGAATTACCAATCCCGCTGATCCTCATGTCGGCAGATTTGCTATTTAAACAAAGTTTTTATTCTTGTAGCAACCGCACCTTTAGTGATATTAAGAATTCCCGAATGAAATTGCGATGATTACCACATGGTTTCACTTGCATCTTTACCTTGAAAAGTGTTTGTCGTAGTGATTCGTAACCCGCCACAATTAGAAATTATTTGGTGTGTTTTTTCTGATGCAAAGGAAGGCTTGGAAATTACGTAAGTTTTGCTCATTGTCATTGAACAGTCTATACTAATTTAATTGCTTACATAACTAACTAGTCATTTATGTTTAATATTTTTGATCACCGAAGCATCTTATGTCAATCGATGATTGCGTAAACGTCAATTAAACTGTTTGCTTGTTGCTGATACTGCCTTGGTTTTATTTCAAACTTAATGAAATCGTATTTTTGTCTAGTTTATAAATGCAGAAACTAAGGAGTTTTGTTCGGATGGTGCGTCATCCTACTCAAAAACATAAAAGAGTGACATAAGTGTAGCAAGTTCCAAGCTTAATAATGTGCCGTGGGTGAATATTACCATTCTGTCAGCAGAAGTTATTTCTACTATGTATTTGTTTGCTACTTTCTTATTTCTTTTATCTTTGGTTTTAAAAATCTTTCATATTGACGTTGGAGATCACCCTGTTCTCAAATTCGTCTCACGAAATTTCTCTATGTAATTTGAGGTATGAAAATGTCGATTACTTGATATTTTTCAATATGGCGTTTCTCAGACACCGTCCAAAAAACTGATCGATTACTTGGCGTCTGATGGTAGGTTGTTTCTGTCAGTAGTCCTTAAACCTCTCAGTAACTCTCTCATCAGATTTGGATTTGCTTTGAAATTCCACGTTGCTGGGGTAGTGTTTGTATTGGCCTTTTTCCATTTGGTGATCACTATTTATTTGTCGGGTAGGTTACTGAAAATTGCTGTCAGGACTTCGGATGTTTCTACTTATCGGTGATGATGAAGGGCTACTGTCCGAGCAGATTGTGACGTTTGCATACCCAACATTTTATGACAGCATAAAACAGTCCGAAGATTTGAACTGCGCAATTCAGGGAATGTTAACATGTTTAACAAATAACTAGATGTCTTTTAACGTGCGGTCACTGACGGTTGAATTCAGCCCATTGATTACTTCTTAGTTTACCAACATAACTGTTAGGCAAATATTGAAGTGATTGTGTGTGTGTGGAGGATTGCCGCGTCTCTATTTTTTTTTCGTGCCATGAAAATATCTACAAGAATCTTGTTAAAATGTTATTATTGACAAATAATCCCCTTTTCATAAAGATTCTACGATTTTCACCTCTCTGACATCACCACCTGTATTTTGTAGATGTTCACGAGCCTAATAGCCGAATTTACACCTTCTGGCGATTAAAAAAGGCTTATGTCCATCTTCAAACGCCTTTTTTGGCTCCCCGCTTGGTTGTAAGATGGCATAAACTCTGCAAAAAAATGCTCGAACATTGAATAGGGACGAAATTTTCTTATCTAAAAACCATGCGTGATATTTATTGAACAGTAAATATGCCCTGACTCCGTAGCCTTTAAGCCAAATCACTCTTCAATCTGTTTTGGTCCCTGTGTATTACGGCCTGCATACTGGGTTTCAGCAAACTCTGAAAGCGTGCTCATGCAGTTTCCCATGCGACGACATTTGGGCCTTTTCGATGTGACGAGTATTGTGGATAAAGTCCTAAACGAAGTCGTGGTAGCATGATCCGCAACCTGGAAGGGGGCCAAATGTTAATCGGTGCTCGGAGACTGATAATTTATGATTGAACAGTAGTGTGGACCTAGTGCCTTCTCCGAAGACTTGGTTGGTTCATGACGCGATATACTTTCGAAGAAAATTCTGACCCCGGCAATTTTAGGACTGCGTCAGCTGAGCCGAAGATGTGCTTAAAACTCTTAAAGTACGTAAGGTCAAAAGTCTTAGATACCTCTTCCAGGGTCACTGTTGCATTGTGATAAGTGTAAATGAGGTCGGGTCGTACTGATACTTTGACCGCGTCTGATTCTCTGAGTGGAATTGGGGGTGTAAGATATTGGAGATTATTATAACACTGAAATTGGGAGTTTTGGTGTAACCTTGGCACCTACTTGGTTCCGAACTGATTAAGAAGGCATGTGGTAGGGCTGACCGGGTGTTGGCGGAAGGATGGTAGATGCTCACTAAAATCCCTTGACCAATAGGCGTTTTTTGCGCACACCACTGACCCCTCTACTACTCGGCAGGCCTCTCCTCAAAACAGGTTCTATTCATAACTTGCGTGTTTCGGTGATCCCGTCGACGTGTGAAAAGCAGTAGAAAGGTTCGTAAGATCCCTTACTGGGTGATGTAAGATGCAGACCAATAGGATCGACGGAAGTTGGAGTATCCGTTCCTCGGAAGTTGTTGTAGCCGCGTTTGTGAACGGACCTGATCTGAGATCGGATAAAATATTAAATGACACTCTCTAGTTAGTTGTAACTGTCGATTTGACCCATCAGTTTACGAAAATACTGGAATACATCGCCTAGATATTAAGCTTTCTCAACCCGAGGGTGTGTTGCAGATTCTTGAGCAGGCACAAACGTGTTTCTACCAAGTGACAAGTACTTTGTCCGTCCGTTTATTTAAACTTTCAGGGATAATTTTGTAGGTTGGTGGATTTAGGACGAATAGAGTCCCCCTAACACGAAGCTTAAATGATTGTTTCCTTCTGAGACTAATGTTTGTCTGTAATACTTCATTGACAGCATAGACCTTAGCTTATCTATCGAGATACTACTATGTTGCCTTGAGAATTAGAGCAATGTGCAGAGTTGGCTTGAGCTTGAGATGAGTCGATTTTTCGTACACTGTGTGGATATCCTGTGCTGATTTGACATCTAACAGGTTGACATGACATTAACCCTGTACAAGTACTGCAAATATAAGTTCCCTTTATCCTTTTTCAGCGCTCTATGGTTTGTTTTTGTTGATCTCTTTCTCCCTCGACCTCGTTTGTGGGTCAGTACTTGTGCTATTTAAGCTGGATATTTTGGCTATTTGCCTAATTTATGCACCATTTAAGCTTCCTTATGTGCACTGCCTGTAGAGGAGTTTATCGCGCACTCCCCTGGCACGGTTACCTGCCTGGCGATGGGTCGGAAGTCGGCGCGGGTGATGGCCACGGGCGGTGAGGACAGACGAGTGAAGTTGTGGGCCGTCGGGCGGCCAACGTGCATAATGAGCCTCGCCGGACACACCTCCTCGGTCGAGTCTGCTCAGTTCAGCCACAACGAGGACTGCATGGCCGCTGGCTCCCTCTCCGGTTCCATCCGCGTCTGGGATCTTGAGGAGGCCAAGCGTACGTTGCTCGCATTGTCTCCACTCCCACCTTGCCATACCCTCCTAGCGTCTGTTTTTTTCGCCTTGTCAAGTGGTTCGCGCGCTCTGTGGTCATGTCTCGTCTGTGCTGTCGTTGGACTTTCACCCACACGGCAATTTCGTCGCCTCGGGCTCAATGGATGCTACCGTGAAGGTAATTTTTGTTACCTCGAGGCTGTAGTTTCCACCCTCATCAACTCAACTTACACCACACTTGAATCAACTACAAGGTCATGCTTAACCCCCAATATCAGATAACAGTGGTCGGTGCTATCCTAGACTGTGCTTTTTAAGGCGATGCAAATCCAATTCGCGTTTTGTCTTAATTGTAGCACATCGTCACTACCCATATCGCATTATGCCACTTAGCCTCACAGAAAAGTTGTTCAGTGTTACTCGACACAAACGGCGTTCTTCCTCTTAATTAACCCCAAGTTGCTTTATTTCGTTCCAATGCCAACTTCATCTTCCTGTTGTTTAAGCTCTGGGATGTGTCGCGGAAGGGCTGTATCAACACATTTAGAGGACACACTGGCTGCGTCAATATGGTGCGTTTCTCTCCCGACGGCAATTGGATCGTGTCAGCTGGAGACGATGGACGAGTTAAGGTAGGTGCTTTGTGCCGCCACCATCACCACCACCATTTTACCATCTCTAAGCGGACGCGTTCGCTCCGTTAAGCCCTAATTCGGTTCGATTCGTTGGCACTGGCACCTCTGGTTTCTCAGCCTCTTGTAGATTTATCGTGGTTCCACCATCTCGAACACCCCTTTACCGTGACTAAATGATTTGACCCTAAAGACATTACTCTGATCGTAACCTAGTGCCAATCATGTCCTACCGACAATCACGTAATAATCTCACTTAACAATTAATTAACTTAAGTTGTTCCGGATTTTTGTTGTGCGCGCCTAGTCAGCCAATTAAAATCGCTGTCACACTTTAGGCGCAACATATTTGCACTTTAATTTACTATCTTACGGCTGTCTCTTTCTCTCTGCACTTGTCACAAGTGAGTTTGAAGAGCGGTTGAATAGGACTGAGTGTTCAAATCGCTCCTGGTAGAGTGTGTGATTCGGCAGGACCGATCAATGCGCATTTGACGTTCCTCTTGCGCGCTACGAAGCGTTGTATTTGAGCGTTCCTTAAGCCAGTATCGGTGATAACCGTTCAAGGATGTTTACAGATTCCCTGCTGCGGCGGTGACGCTGCGTCTGGTGTCTTCCACACCACGCTGCGGTCAATTCCTTAGCAAGACAGCTCTCCTCCATCCCTTCAAAATGGTTAAATTATCCGCATTTGCAACATCCACTTGTTTTCCTCCCGAATTGACCCACTGGTGACAGTTTTGTCAGCTACTCTCTGCCTCCTATTCTTCTGCCTAGCATTTTAAATACTGGATAAGTGGTTTGCTCACAGTTAGTCATCTTGCCTCGTCTGCTTGTTCGACTGAATCTTTGTCAGAAAACATCGAGCGGGTGACGGATTTTTTCCAATGCTTTGATTAGGTCCATCGCTTTACTGTCATGCATTCTTGTAGTCGCTGAAATTGCTGAAGAAAATATCTGACCTTTGTGTTTCAGCGAGGACTTGTCGCGAGTTTTGTTAATGTCAGAGAACAGACGAGGTGGGCATAACCGTTTACTCATCTCGTAGAGATCATAACATTATTGCTTATGTACACAAATTGGATCAATCACGGTCAGTGGATGTGCACTCAGGTGAATGGTTAGAGAGGTCTGTGCAGAAGGTTGAGTGATCGAAAAGTAAGTGGTGGTAAATTCTTCACCCTTGTAGCGTTTGATTCGGACTGATCTACAAAGCCAGCAATCGGGTCCAAACATCCAGCTTTACAAACTTCAGTAACACAGAATCAAAGCCACGAGAATTTCAAAAAAAATATGCATAAATTCCCTCTACACGAGTTTCACGTCCATGCAGTGACTTTTCACGGGGAAAATTCGCTCTTTCGTTCGACGAATTTGGGATTTTTAACGCGTCTCGAATTTGCAGCTCCGCCAGTGCTACGTTTTTGCACGGCGAGGTGCCGTGAAGCTGTGTGTTTTGTTCTACTTCCGTTTTGTAATGGTCCTGTGACCGCGTTTGGAACATTTTGGTTGCCAATGGCAACCCATCGCGTCTTTGTACTGCCACATTCACTTGACCGTGCGTTCCTCCCCCGGATCGGCAATAAACGAATGAGGTATTACGCCCGCGTTGCAAGCTCTTCCTGTTTTTTTTTCATGCGGCCACTAGCAGAGATTCACTGTTATCTTTCAATCAGTTTTTAGAATCACGATTCTAATGGCAACTTTTCACGATTATTCTCTTCCAACTAACCAACCACGTATCGTCTAAAGTTCCTTCCCACATCTGACCTCTGTGGATTGTGTTTTGTTGCCTGATTCGTATCGTCCACGGCTAAATGAAAATCCACTGCCTCATTCTCAACCAACATGACGCAAACTCACCAGAGACGTGTTGGGGTTCCTTGAGTCTATTCAGGCCGTCCGTTTCTCTCGAAACGGGGTACGCAGAGCCTCACGGTGTACTCGCAAGTCTCCTGACAGTTCCAATATTCCCGTTTTGACTGCTGTTTTCCGACAGATCCCTTGACTATCCTTATCGATTCCCTTTTCTCTCCTTGTTTCACTGCGTTTACTTCAGTTCGCACGCTTCTGTGATGCTTCGATGTAGCTGTGATTTCCGTGGAACGACACAGTAGTGCCTCGTAAAATTAAACCTTACTTGCCTCTCTGTGAACGTCCTTTTTGATTTATTCCATGTTTAGTGCGTGTGAGCGGGTGTTTGTGTATGCAACCCGTTGAACTGCAAATGACTTTTACGACATTCATTTGAAGAAACGCACGGTAAACGCCGCTAATTGATGCTTTTTGTTGCCCTACCGTCTGGCTGTTTGCCTCACGGTCGTGCTGTGGTCGTTTTCGTGAGGTAGCGTTCTTCACAACTCAATGAACGATAGTAACGCCAATTCTGAGAAATCGGGAGTCGGTCCTGCTTGTCCCCTAAACGCAGACGTGGCGTGGCTGTCTTGGCTTTACAGACACGCTTCGTCGCACGCAGTGTGTGCCTGTTTCGTGGGTAGGTTGTTCATTCTTATGCACCACGACCCACTTTGACTTTTCTGCGTCGATTCACAAAACCTTTGTTCCTGGAGGACATCGCCTCTTAAATGTGCTCTATCTGTCGCCATGCCTTTTTACTCAAGTCCAACTTTTGTATGACTAATTCTGCCGTTTTTGCGAATCACCCACTACGTTAGGTGGGACAGGCTTTTTATTTCACCCGCGCAGTAACGCATCGCTTTTATTCCCTCCCGCCACCACTAAGCACGCAGTTGAATTCAGCGTTATCACACAGAATACCTCGCTTTGTCTGTTTGGCAGCCGATTAAGACGCGTTTGGCGACTCCCCTTCTCCAAGTTGGTGTTTTCTCCGAAGTAACTCGATTGCCAGTACCCAATTTTGACTAAGTGTACTTCTTCCTTCGTTCATCACATTCTATGTGATTGATATATGACGTATTTTTCACACATTTTCCGGCAAATTTATCCAAGGTTAAAAAATAGAGAACAACGCACTTAATCTTGCAAACATTGTCCATCGTTTTTTATGACGTTGCGCCATCTCTCAGGCTAGGTGCAAATCCCGCGGCAAAAGAAACTTGCAGGCTTCGAATCGATCAAGTCATCATCGACGAAATTACGCGCATCTTTTTGCGTTTCGAACTGTTTGCTCACAGAGGCGTGGTGTTGTTGCATTGATCGGAAAAAATGTTAATCGACTGGTATATATGCCGCGCGTGTTGGAGAACTTCCCATTCCAAGTTCAAGAGGGTCCTCAGAGTCGCGCGAGCAACCTCAGATGGTCAAGCATTGTCTTGCAGTAGCAGTGGTACGACTTGCCTGCTTCCTTGCCCAGTAAGCGGGCTTTTCTGATCAAGTTCTTTGCTCAGTTTGTTCAATTGCCGGCTGTGGCGTTCCGCAGTCGCCATCTGACAACCAGTTTGCACGAGTTCGTAGAAGAACACCCTTCATGTCCTCCCGCCAGATACACAGGAGGATCTTCATCTTCAAGTGGATGCTCTGTTTCGGCGTCGATGTACTAGATTTCTGAGGGTCTACCCACGACCTTTTACGTTTGGGATTCTGTGAAAAATATACTTTTCATCACCCGTCACAATTTTCCACAGGGAGTTCTTTTGTTGTGGCTGGCGGCCAAGCAGTGGAAGGCATGTATTCGTTCCTTGACGTAGGTTGTGTTTGGTCAACATATGCTATGGGGCGACCCACCCAACTTCCAAGTTTCGAATTTTACCATTTGATGGGAACACTTGGAAGTAGGTGTTTGGGTGGCTCCTGACTGGGCTGCTGCAAGCTCTTGCTACGTTTGAGCTGAATCTTCATGTAGTAGAACTTGCAGTTCTGTATCTTCAAACCTTCGAGGCTGCTGTCCATGGCGCAGCTAGTCACTAAGATTGAAAACATCATTTCTACCACGTTTGTACCAATAACCACACGTTTCGTAAGACACGACGTCAGCAGCACCAAGAACACTACAAATTGATTCCCCCTTGCTTTCGAAGCAGAATTTTTTTCTTGTTGGAATCCGTACAGAATGCAGTGCCATCGAATGTGCTGTGCATTATTTAGCGTCGTCGTAAACTCTGCTATTGTGAGAGGTTATGTAACTAACGTAGACTTGTCATTCATCATTCTGAAACCGTGCTTTCGATCCTTTCAAAATCACTAAATACCCCCAATAATATTTTTATAGTAAATATAATTTTACTCTGGAAGGAAATTCTGTAAAAATCAAATTATATATCTTCTGAAGCACATATCTCCTTGTGTCTATTGGTTGAATCAGTGCTCCTAATCTCACTCCCCTCTTATCTTGCGTTTTCGTTCACAGGTGTGGGACCTCGCAGCGGGCAAACTGCTGGCCGAGCTCTCAGGGCACACCGCCCCAGTAACGGGCATCGCCTACCACCCCACCGTCCTCCTGCTTGCCTCCGCGTCGGCCGACCGAACGGTGCGCGTCTTCGACCTCGAGACCTTCGCCCAGGTCTCCGTCAGCGGCATCGAGTTGGCCGCCTCGGCGGTCCGTCGAATCGCCTTCCACCCCGAGGGTCTTTGTCTCTACGTGGCCACCACCGAACAACTCAAGGTATCTATTATCTCCAACCTGATTGGTTCTTAGAATGTCAAGGTCATATTCACTATTTGTCCTCAAAATTTGAAAATGCTTTTGATTAAATTAAGATATGGGTTGGTTGGCGAAGTTCGAAGAAGGGAGACCTCCAACCTGTCCTATTTGGGGGTTATCGAAGCGTGGTGTGTTTCGATTAGAAGATTAATGCGTCCTTCTTGTGCAGATTTACAACCACGAGACGATGTCCTGTCTGGAGACAGTTCAGGTTGGCTGGCGTGGTGGAGGCGGCCTGGTGGACATGGCTGTGGCGCCGACCTTCAATCAACTCGTGGGCGTCTCGTATTCGGGCTCCACGGTGACCACGTACATCGCCGACGTCAAGTCCTGCGTGCCCTTCTCGTCGCCCTCCCTCCACTCACCCTCGTCGCCGCAGGGCATCAGCATTGCCAAGGGCGTCCACAACCTCGTGCCGAGGCCCGTCGAAGAGGTGAAGCCGTGCACTTAGTTGGCTGCGTTTTTCATGTCTCCTCGCAGTCGCGCTAAATCGATGTCCTTTTTTTTAGCCTCCCCAAGCCAATCAGCAGGTGGTCAGGTGCAAGGGCGATGCGTCCCAGTCTGGCTCTGCTCTCCCGACCACCGGTCGAAAGTCGTTTTCCCTCAAGAGCGAAAGCAACAAACCCCGTGTTGTTCCAGTACGTCCGCATGGGTCCATATCTTCTTCGTTTCTTCTTTCAACCAAACTTTTGCCGTGGCCTTGGCTCCTTATAATTGAAAATTTGACCATTCGTAACGCAAATGCACACTCCACCTATTTCTGGGGGTCCAGGTTGTGGATTCTTTATCAACTCTTACCGTCTACCTTTGACCTCTTATTTTATGCACGCCGGGTTTGAACTAAGTTCACACTTTAATCTTTTGGTGTGTGCGTCAAGTCGATTTCCACCTTCTTTGAGAATCTCCTAAAGCGATTTCTTGTAGAAAGTGGCTTTATTGTGTGATTGGGGAGTTCGTTTTCGACTGATGGTTCTACCCAATAAGAACTTGTGCTCACAACTCAAGCCTATTTTCACTTAGTTTGGGTAGGTCTCAGACCAAATTCTTGTCTCCACTATTCAATGTTAAGACAAGTTTTTCTGTATGATCGCGGGGAGTGCGTTTTTGGCTGATTTAAAATATTGGGTGCTCGGACAGTGCTGCCACACCCACCGGCACACCCTGACTTTTACCGGCGACAATCGTTTAAATGCCATTTCCCGTCAACCTGGTCGTTAATTCTCTGTCAGACGTCCGCACATTCCGTATTACTATTATTATTATCACTAATCAGAAGAGATGCGCTTTGTTGAATCAAAGCCCTTGTTCACCCGACTATGCTTTCCAGTTAACTTCAGGTGTTCTTCAGTCGGTAGTTAGCCAGTTGAATATTCGAAATTGTCTTTTAGGACGACTCGATAGTACCAGACGCCCCCTCGGACGTGGAGGAGTCGTGTCCAGTAATTGACGACGTCGCCGCTTACAACCGCGTCTTCAAGCCGAAACGCACGATTAAACGCAGTCCAAGCAGGCCCACTACGTGCCCTTCGCAACAACAGCAGCAGCCCACCGCGTCGACGACAATCAACCCCCCGAACAAGCTCTTTCCCGCGACCCCCAGCGAAGACGACGACAGCGGTCCATTCTGTCCACCGCCCGCCCAGCCACCTGCCAGTCGTGAGTTCTCCCTTCTCAGTTTGGCGCGCGCGCGTGCGCACGTGTGCGTGAGCATCACGCTTCTGTTGCGCTGCTGTCAATTGGCTGAGTCCGTTCGTAAAACCGCGTGTCCATAGCAGAACTGGACATGAGAGTAGCCGTTGTGAGCGAGCCACGTTGACGGCTCAGGGTGTTAAGAGAGGGCAGGTCGGGGAAAATCGATGCGCAGATGCCGAACTCTCGCTTGTCCCAACGACTCCGTCACTCTTAAGGCGAGAGAACAGTGCTCAGGTAATTGACTCACCTCAGATTTCAAATTGAGTCCATGCCAGGCTCAGGAATTGCCACGTTATTGACACCTTTTGCAGAATCTTTCTCTCCGTCCGTCCAATCTGACTGGACAGCAAACCGCCAGAGTTTACTATTTGAGCTCCTACGTTCGCGTATTTCTCCGTCGCTGCGTAGTCCAAATTAGACACCCCAAATTCTCACGTACTCCACGAATTCTATCATTCCGCTGTGCGTTTTAATTAGACCGATTTCGGTGTTTTCTGAAGACGGCTTGGTTTCGCGAATTCGCAGTCTAGTAATTACCGTGGAGTTTCTAAGGTACAGACCTTGCGGTTTGGGGGTTGTGGCGACGATGACCAATCTAAGCGGGCACTGTGGTAGCCACGTGAGGGATTAGACATCCACGTTGTTGAGATGCTGTGGTGAGGTTCTAAGGGGATCCATCGAACACCCAACTAATTCATGCTGCGTCCAGTCCGAACGCGTTTCAGCGTAGTATACAACCATTTTGCTCCGGCTCATGAAATTCGTGGTTTTTTTTCCTACGAAGATGTATTAAATGGCTAAATGAAAAAGCAGCCACGAACGCGGTGATTCACCGTGGATGTTTTTGCCCTCACAGGCGTCAAAACAAGACACCTAAATAACGAAAAAGTTAAAACTCACATAAAATATACCAATTCGGGGCTACGGAGAGGTGAAACTTGATTTATGCGGGAAAAGGCAGCGATGGGATCACTAAATATGAGCGGTTCTTTTTTTTACTGGAAAAATTTCGTAGACCTCCTCAACATTGGGTTTTTATGTAAGCGCGCAAGTTTGGTGTGCACTTCTTGCCTAAAACAGGTCAGAAATTCGGCTAAATGATTAGTTTACCGATCGACCACGTGACCAAGCGTTGTTGAGTATCGAAAGGAAACAGCTATTATCTTACTTCGGCATTCCGAAAAAAAAATATTTACTGGTTTAACTACCAGCGCAGTGCTTATAATTGCAGCCACGGAAGCGAGGTTGTTCCCAACCACGCAGTGGGCCAAATGCCGAAGGTCTAAACTTTCAACACAATCCACACCTTGTGAAACCGTCTTTGAGTTGATTTCTTAGTCGAAAACCACTCGAAATGACGTTGAAATTGTTTTCTACATTGGGCCAAATTCCGATACAATCCCGGCTATGGATTTTGTAGGATATGTTTGGAGCAAAATCACTGGTAGGCTTCGTCCACGATGGAATTAGCACCACCTGATCTTCCAGGTTGTGTTTTGTGCAGGTAAGCTAAAGGCAGACTCATTTTCAGGCATGTCTGAGCACAGCGCGTCGATGGTTACTGGCTGTGTCTCCTTGTGTACAATGCACTTCGGCCCAGTACGAGGTCAGTAGAACACGCTTTGTAAGACGTAGGAATGAAATAGGTCAATTTCATTGGCCAGTTACTTGCTCGGTGGTCACCACTAATCTAGGATAAACCAACTTCTGTCAAGAGGGTTTTCTACGTTTGCGAGTATTTGGCTGGGTCAGTTGGTGATTTGAAGGCAACGCTTCATTGCTGCTGCCAGCGTAATTTGATTCATTAACGGATGAGCTGTTTCTCGATGCAACGGCTTTGCTCACTCGTGCATGCAACTGATTGCATTACGTCTGTGTGGATTTACCAAAGCACTGAGCTTTTGTGATGTTTACGTTAACACCTTTAAAAACTTGGCGCAAATTCCTAACCCGTTGACTTCTGACTTTCTCGTTTTTTCCGGTTGCCACCCGTGCTTCTTGATCCCATTCGTGTACACTGTGTATTAAATCTGCCCTTTGCGCTGACCAAACAGGCTTCCAATCAAGTCGAATCCTGGGTTGTGCCAACGTGTCGCATTGTCACGACGAACTTGCCTTACTCCCGATCAAAACAGCGATTTGGTTGAGTCACGTCGTTAGCATCATTGTAAAGTTCGTTGGTGATCTCGGTCAGTCCTTCTTTTTTTAAGCAATTTCTTGAACTTTGTGCCTGTTTTTTGCCGCCACTTTAAAACATTCACATGGGGTTGACGCCTTTTCTAATTTTTCTTCGCTCTGAAATTTCGACAAGTGCTACCTTCAGCCTACTTGTTTGCGGCGGCCAGTTTGGTGTCAGTTTTAGTGTGGAGTGCAAAAAGCGAGCATCTTTAACGCCTGTTTGCTTGGTATTTTGCCCAACGGCAAGACAGCTGTTGCGGCCCACAAAGCGATTCTTGAGGTTTGTGGTGCTGCTGGCTTAACAGCAACAACCATCACCTGTCATAATTTGTTCGCAATCTGGAATAAACCGGAAAATAATTGACAAAACGCAAAGAAATCCAACTCGTGGAACGAACGTGCATGAACGTGTTTGCAAAATTATATCGTATCGTCGATATGACTTTGAGCCTGCTTATTAAATTGTTTTTCTTCGAAGTCCGCAAAGTCGCACTATGTCCAGTTGTTTTGCGTTCGGTGAACTGGACCGATAGCCGAAAGTTGCCGACCAAGGATTCAGCTCTTGTGTTTGCAAAACTGCATTTTACTAGGCGCAACCAAATCGAAGTCACTTCGCTGTTTACAGACCACGGGTACTCAGGAAATAGTATTCTTCTGTAGTTACTAGATTCCACCTTACTGGTAATATACTGACTTGGGCTGGTTTATTGTTTGAATTTTCGACTAATGTGCACAGCAGGGCCTGAGACAGTTATGTTTCCTCTATCTGTTAATTTTCTCTGGGATCCAATAGGGTCCGCGGCTTGATTTTGCAACTGATTTCCAGCCGATTCCATCTTGTCCAATCAAATGCTCCCGATCCCACGCTGCATTTTCATTGGCTCGTCGGAACCATCAAATTGGCTGTGGCACGAGACAGCACGAAGTATCCAAGACAGAAGTGAGACAAGAGGAAAAGAGGTTCGAACGTTGTTTCGACCAAGTCGTGTGTTTGTGGCTCCTCTGACTAACGCAAGCTGTTGGCCAATAGCGCTTGGGTGAACTTGTGCAAATTTCTGATTGGCCAGATAAACGAATCAGGTAGAGCGTGGGGAGGTACGCGCACAGAGGTGCATGAGCAACCGGTTTCGCATGGTCGAAGTCAAGGAAAAAGGCGAGGGAACCGAGTCTGGGCATTCAGCTGCCGTGCTAACGGACCTGAATCACCACGATTTTACGGCACGCTCAATTGCGTTGTTGCCTGACCAGCGTTTCCATGCTTTTTCATAGGCTGGTATCGAGTTGAGATTGTTTGCAAGTGCGTTGTGACGGTGCCCCGTAAGTTGTCGAAAATTTGGTGCAGGACTAACATTTGTGAGACTTGTGATGCCTTTTCTAACCTGCGTGTCCGTTTTGAAATTAAAGTTGACACTGCCGTAATTTACCCTTCCAAATTGACCAGAGTGCTGACCTCTCACCTTGCATGCATTCCTGTTGCAGTTCCCAACGATGTCGATAAGGTGACGTCGAATCCACGCGACAGCAATGTAGAAATATCCGACTTTCTGCCGGTACGTCTTTCTTGTGTTGCAAATCAACCACTTTGGCATCGATATTGCCGAGAATCGCATGCCGAAAAAGCTGTTTTAACGATCTCTCCACGCTTTCCCGTTGTTAGTACAGTCACGTCCTACTCTTTGCAATAATTATTCCCAATGCTTAGCTACTTTCATCCGTGCCGCTGCCAACGTAGCTTGTCCAGGACTAATTAACTGTACGCGTCATGTGTTTTTTTCTGTTTACTGGCTTTCGCTCATCTTCTGTTGTTGTAACGTGTAGAATAAGACCCCGCCAACAGGAACGGCGGATGGAAACGATCCGTTCGCGGGCATGTGGAGCATGATGGGTGACGGACCGAAGCCCACGCCTCCGCGCACCCTGGACGCCAAGTCCGGTGGTTGCGAGACCGCCAACGCCTCCAGCGAAGCCGCCGTCATCCAGCGACTGCGGACGCCGCACAGCGCCTTCCTGTCGGTGCTCTCGACGCGCCACAAGAACCTCACCACCGTGCGGTTGATGTGGCCGCGCGAGAACCTCAGGGCCGCCCTCGAGTCGGCCATCCTCCTACAAGACCAGGCCGTCCTCGTCGATGTCCTCCGGGTGCTTGTCTCGAATAAGTACTACTGAAATCACATATTAGCATGCGTATTTTTTTGCCTCGGTTTGTACCATCCCAAGACTATGCTGTCCAACGAAATTGTCAACGGTTTTCTGTGCATTCTTACGTATTTGCACACATGGAATAGCATATAGGTGAATTGTCGTCACACTGCAAATGGCACAGTTCGAGGCAATTAGTCGATTAAAGTACTCCCAGCAGCCGTTCGGATCTTCCTTGGTGCACTGACTCTCGAACGGCGCGCAAAAGGCTGTGGTTTTTTTGGTGCACGCGTGGGCCTTAGCTGGCGTCCAAGACCTAACTGGGTTTGCCTCTGTTTTAGCAAACAGTGGAGCCTGGATTTAGTCGCCCTGCTCCTGCCACAGCTGTCCAAACTCATCTGGAGCAAGTACCCCGCGTGAGTTTGGCTTTGCTTCATTGGCGATCAAAACGCGATTTGTTGACAAGGTGTTTGTTAGTGCAGTCCATCTAATACCCTGTTGTGCAGTAAATTTTTGAGATTTCTTGTTTGCAACACCGAAGGCTAATTTGCCACACAGGATTACGTCGTCGTCTACTTTCTCTTGCCTTTTTAAACAGTTACGTTGAGACAACGTGTCAGGCTGTGCGAATAATCCTGAAGAACTTCGCTACCCTCATTCGACAAACCATTAACACAGCACACGCGATTGGCGTCGATGTTACGCACGAGGAACGGTAAGTTCGCCGCCTTGAGCAGCCGAATCTCACGAAGGCCGGTGTGAATTCGCTCGTTTAATTTAATTTATATTAGTAGTTTACGTGTTACGGTTCGTAGATCTGCAGTGAATCCTACATCTTTTTTCTTTAAACTTTCACTCAAGCGATCGAAACGCTTCGCTAGACATATTTTAAACTCTCAGGTCTTACTCACCAGAACTGCACCTTTTTGAACTACCCGTATCAATTCGTCACTTGCCGGCCTAAAAAATGCAACTCATAGCTACACACTGGCAGTCTCGTGCCTTACAATCCTTCATCATAGGCTGCTGGCCGGTGACTACTTATATAACCCCTGCTACTACTCTATTGTATTAAATTTTCTCTAGTGATGGCTGGCTCAGTCAACAGAGCATCTCGGGACCACTCACAGCCAGCTTGATCGATAGGTACTCACTGGTTTTTGTTTGTTCACTTTAAGCAATACCTGTTTGTGAGTTGCATTTTTGCCTTTTACGGCAGCCAACCTGAATCTAAGGTTAGCAATGCTGTTGCAGTAAAAAATGCCCCCCCCAATACATTGACGACATCCCATGTCCTCATGGTGGAGTGCATATTACACCCACACCTTTTCTCGCAAAATTACAAGTTGACCAACACGAACATTCTTTGCACATATCTACCACCTTACTACGTATTCTCTTTCAATTAAGACAAGCAAAGTGCCGCGCCTGCTTGACCTCCTTGGAATCCATACGATCGGCATTCGACTCGAAAGACGTCGCCACCAAGGCTGGTCAGTACGGGCGAGAGGTCTATGCGATGTTTTCGTTACTCGAATGACCTGCATTTAACCCACCCGATGCCTTTGTCCTCCTCCTCCATCCAAACTCTGCCAACCTGCTTTTGAGTACTTTTGTTGCGTACATTTTCTGTACATATAACCGGCAACTTCCGGATCTGGGCCAACGCTTCCTTGTTCATCATGATAAATCCACACTGGCCATTTACGAGCCAATCCAAATTTTTCGGGTGTTTGGCGAGCTGATTTTGGTATGGCATGACAGCTACGGTTTGTTCCCTAGTCTCGGCTCGATCAGACAAGTCACCTGAAAGCTTGCTCCACCATGACAATACTTGGATTTTCGGAGAAAATTTGCATTATGTGGTTATTTCAAATACTGTATGGAATAATAAAACGACCTCCAGCGACCAGGAAGTGTTCCAATACATTAATAATAAGTAACAGATTGCTTTGACTAATTTCAATATGTGTGCCTCCACGTCTGCCGTCTAACGGGGACATGGGCAAATGATTCGGCGTAATGTGAGGAAACACCAAAGGAAGTTTGTTCAAAAAAGTCAATCTTACCTTCCATAAGTCTCATGACCGTTAAAAAAACTGAAATATTAGTACCAAACGGATTTCACTGTTTGGGGATTAAAGCAACCAATATTACTATTGAAGATACCCGATTAACGGCTCATAGGTTATGTAGAATGTATGTACGAAAGAAAACTAAACCTCTATACAATTTATTTAATAAATTACTTAGCAGCCCTTATAGCCCTCACAGTTTGGTAGGCAACACTGTCCATGTCGCGTCGTCCAATTCGTGAAATAGTTCGTCCACTAAAAAGGAAAAACCTTGTCAAATTCTCCCACCCTAACACAATGAGAACCTAATACTAAGTGAAAAATGATGCAATATAACATTTCAATTCGCTTATTTAGTCGGACTGATAAGTTAAAATTACACAAAAGAGCACAGATACAACTACACACTTGATCAAAGAACAAAAAACTAACCCATCAGGGCACTTCTCAACAAGGCCCATGTTCTCCACTTCATGGAGGCAACGACGGAGAATAGCAGTCGAAGCTTTAACATGATGCCGCGGGCAAACTCCGTTGCGCTTGCCACGGCTAAAAGCCTTGCTAAGACCATTCATACCGGAAGGCCTGAGATATAAGTGACGCAGGACAGCGGCACATCGGATATAGAACCAGTCAGGATCGTAAGGGGCCTGTTCATTTGCAGTGGAAAGTTTCACGACATCGACCCAATCGGGAACCCTAACCTTACCAGTCCTATACAAATTACATAAGTTATCTCACGCTGTTACCGGGATTAAGTACCAGTATAACAACAACGATAGAGACATATCGACGCTAAAATGAGCTACTGAACCATTTTAGAATACAGAACTTAACGACCAACACGAAAAGCTAAAATTCCTGGCTATGAATATTTACCCAACAAGGTGCAAATATATTTTTAACTGAGAAGTACCAATTGGCATTCAGGAAGCGGGATTGACTTACTTCTTCAAAAACTTCGCCAAAGCAGCAACGTATATGTGACCGTCAACATCTTTCACAGAGACGTGAGCCTAAAAAATTAAATAGCAAAAAACGATTACCATCACGCTGCACACAGATACCAACTCGAAATATCCGCAAGTGTGTGAATCGACGACTTAAACAAACAATGATATTTCTAACAAATTTCTATGTGGTATGCTTTTAAAATTATTGCAAAAACCTTTATTGTAAAAGTTTGCTTTTATTTAAAAGCAGACATACTTCGGTATTGTTAAATAAGCCAGACAAATGCTATAAATATTGCTCGTCTGTTTAAATAAGCTTTGGGTGATTGGACGCTATTTAATCACTTGAATTTATTAATATTTTTTTCGGCCCTAAGGAATTAACCTAGTGAATTATAGGATGTAGAGCAATAGGTTACTCTTTTGGCAAAACCGTCTATTTATGTTCAATTTCTTTGCAAATACAACATCAAGAATGACTAAATCGTCGAAAAATTGGGGTTTTAATTTGGCCTGATGCCATTTTTCATACATTAAAAAGGATTAAAATTTTTATACGGAGTTAAGGACAAAGTGACATATGTATCAAGTTCCAAACGTAAATATTCATACAAAAATGCTCATTTCTATACTTTTTCATAAGAAATTCAATTTTTGTTGAAAAACATGGAAGCCTTTTGCAAGTAGTTTTGATCGAACTGACCTAAGATACAGATCTGAAAGTTTAAAATTTCGAAGGTTTTTTTAATTTTGTTACACACCTTTTTAGTTCAAATTAAAATTTTATTACGTGAACCGGCAAGCCTCAAAAAATTATTGGGTACCCCATATACATAAAACGCTGAATAAAGCTGAATCGGTTGTTTATTTGTCTATATAAGCTTTGATTTTCGTTCCAGCACCATTTAGGCACACCTAGTATGGTCTCACTAGAAGAAATTCATCATAGAATGCTACACTTGGCAACACTGTCTAAGTAAACATAGTTGACTAGTATCTTGGAAGAACATACTTAAAAATTTGTGTTATGTTTAATTAATAAACCACAGTTCTACTTTACTATTCATGGTTGATTTGACTACTTTCAGGACTTCATATATAATACTGAACATTTTTTAAGTATCTGAAACGACTGCAGTCATATAATGTCACCCCATACTTGTACCTATCAATCCGCTTTTGGGTTTCAATGGCCTATGAAGAAGATTAGTAGCCAACTTGGGACTAGTGTATGTAATGCGAGCCATTTGTCCTCTCGTTCCTCTCCGTCACCCCGCTTTCCCTGTTGCCTGGTCCGTGAGTCAAAGTGTAGCTCTGAAACTCTCTACGACCATTCTCTTTTTTTTCACTCAAGCACTCTCCCTAAGTTCCAGCTCCTCTACATTTTATACGGTACTATGAAAGAGATCTAGGTCCTATTTCAAGTCCCATATTTTATGCATAGTAGTCAACCAGATGATTAGTAATTTATCCATTTATGGATGGTAAGCATGTGTATAACACGAGCCCGGACATGTGTGTGGATTCGAGTAGTCGTCTGTAGATGAAAGATTCTTGCATGTTATATAATAAGCTCTGTGCTGGTACAATCGTCTTCTCCAAAAAGGCCAGTGGCTTCTTTTAAACCAGTGCCCAATTTGATAATAATTTTTGGTGTGTAAAATACTTCGCTACTGGCAAAAACATTTTAAATAAATCCGCTACTGATAGAGTAAAACCACGTTGCTTGAACATAAGAAGGAATGTTTGGGCAAAATTACTTTATATGTGCCCTGTCCTACATTACATATTTGAAGTCACCAAGACGTGTGAGGTAGCAACTGCATTAAAAGTTTAGATAAAATACAAAGGTGGTATTCCAGTAATTTGTCATAATGGACATGGATAACACTTTTCTCAATTATCTGCGCAAAGAGCGTCTCGTTAATGACTAGAATTGCCCTTTTGGCAAAACTTTACTACCGACTTCTGCCTTAAATTGGCTTTGTAAGCATGGATTTTGCCTATAATTTTTTTGCATAAATGATGTGTTTTCTATCCAACTGATATCACTGAATGAATGCATTATCGATTGTATTTTCGACATCATTGACGCCAAAACAATGAGTCAATCCGCTTTGCCTTGGCAACTGCTTCCTTCCCTGAACTTTGGATTTTACAGATTCCAACTTAGGAGAATAAAGTAAAACCAGCTTGCCATGAGTAATTTGCAACGTTATGTCCATAAGATCATAAGCCATGATACATGTAGGATTTATTAAATTACAACTGCTTTACAAGGTACGCTTCTTTGTTTTGATTTAAACAGTAAATGTCTAAAAAAAGTGTTATCTTAAACGTACATTTTCATTTTTTTTGCGAAAACACAACCAGTGAATGTAAATTAACTTATACGTGGCCTCTGCATGTCCTCCAACTGAAAATCATACGACGCATTTTACAGCGTCCTTGACGGATCCTTCCAAAAAAATTGCGACATTTTACCCACCATTTACAAGCAGGTGAAGCACTAAACGCTTCCGAACACCCACATTCTGCAAGCCTCATATCGGAAAGTCGCCTGGGTAAAGCAAATAAGTCTACGACGATGACCACACTTTCAAAAGTTGTGGCTTAAATAACGCCCACAACCAAAGCCTCAGAACTGTGCCAACATGTCAAATTGAGGAACCGCTAAAGCTGTTTACAGAAGTTCAGGAGTCGGATTATTAGTCAAGTTGCACGGTGAAGATGGGGACCCGAAGTTGCATCGAAACGTCACAGGCACACACTAGGTTTCACGAGAAAACCGCAAGTGCTAGGCAGAAGAAACAACGCATTCAATGTTTACCAAAAGCGGTCTAATGCAAAATCTGGTAATAAAAGAGCTGGCGAGAAAAAAGGACACAATCCTTTATGCATGTAGGTGTGTACAATGTAGGTTGAGGGCTCGTGTGAGTGTATATTCAACGACGGGGAGAACGGGGGGGAGCAACAGATAAAGGTCTGCAGCGGGCTAGTAAGTTGTGTGTAATAGCATGTGTACTGATGCAACATGAGGACTGAGGCGGGTGCGATCGCATCTCACAATGGTGTTTGGTTGAGAATAAAACGGGGAACGAGACGCGCAAGAAATAATCTAATTGGCAGTTCTTGTACACGTGGGTATCAAAACAGCGAGATTGAGTCTACGTTGAAAAAGTGGTGGTACTTGGGACATCTTTCTCATACACACACACACGCACGCACAAGCGGTCTCTGGGTATGTACACTGGCATTGTATGGGGTGTTTTGGTGGGACAAGGCAACGAGCCAGCTCGAAGGTCAGGTGTGGACGGACTGTGAGGGCCTGAAGATAAGGGAGTTGTGGTGGTTGTGCTGCCAGAGGAGAGGGTGTGGTGATCACTGTCATTGACCCACTGGAGCCATTGCGGGTGGCATCACGGGGGTCGCCGCCTGCCTTTTGCCGCTCCTGCAGACACAAAAAACAGCGCCGGTGCTAATTAGGTGACAAACGGATGGCTACAAGGATCATGCCTTCATTTTTCTGTAAGTATTTCGACATTAGCGTAAATAAGAGGCAATTCATCAAGTTGAAGCTCATCGATCACCTGAAATCCACTCACATAAGCCTTCGGTAAACTTTCAACGCTCGTGGATAAATCATGGACGGTCCCATCAGAAGAATGACCCAAATAAGATAGCTTCGAAATGAGTAGTGAAGAAAGGAGGTGTGCCTAATCGGCCAACTTACCCAGGAGGGCGACCTGGCCGTCGGGCAGAAACGGCATGGGGAGCAGCTCCGGAAGCAAAAAGGTCCTCACCACCACCACCGCCTTTTCGCCGCTTTATCGCCGTGCTTGTCGCGAACTGTTGTGTGGTCATATCTGCAAACAGTGAAACAACGCCATCGTCAAGACACGATAAGCTTTGTAAAGCAAATTGCGCAATGACAAAGAATAACAAATGTGTCAAGCGAGAATGGCATTCCCAGACAAGGGCCTTTGTTTAAAAGCGATTGCAGGGCGCATTCAAATCTTTTCATTAACAAAACCTACATGTACTCGGACAGACAATTGGTGGTAAATTACAAGGCGGAAAGTTAGATTGTGTAAAAAATTAACCAATTGGGGTTGACATCGAGTGCAAAAGTAGGCCAGAGTTGGAATATTTTAATCAAAAACCTGCCTGAAGTGTCCTCTGGCCGCGGTCGTCGCGGTCTGCCTCGACCTCGGCTGGCGGGACCGACGGAGCCGGACATGAGGTTCTGATTGGACACACCTCCCGGGTGGTGGTGGTCCGTGGCATCGGGATCGAGGCTCGTTCGGTACGCCTGCAGCGAAGCCCATTCCTCGCCCGACGCCTGAGGAAAGATCTACACCACGAGAAAAAATCAAGGGTTAATCGAGCCGAGGAGCTGAAAGACACATAAAGAAAAAAACAAACTTCGAAACCCACCCTGTAGGTGTAATTTAGCATGCTCCGCTTGTCCTGTTGCAAGAGTTTATTGGAGAATTCAGCTACGATTTCAAGAAAGAGGAGGCCGGTGGGAACTAGGCGGGCGTCGTCGGTTATGCTGCTGTTGCTTCCAGAGGGGATAGTGGAGAGGACAAACTGGATGCCGTCGGAATGGAAGGCAACCATTGCCTCACGAATCTTCATTAAGTCAAGACCAAAACTGAGGTTTAGTCGACGCGACAATTCACGCAATGCCTGGAAACCCTCCGAACCGCGCTCCAAGTGACCGCCCTGAAAGAAATGACGTGAGATTAACTAGAAAACTGTAATGACACCTCGCCAAGACTTGACCCTGTTTCAATAAAACCTGACGCAATGTTGGACTCCGGTCAAAACACTCGAATACCCGCTGATACCGTGGATGTTTAGGCCTTATGAAAACCATGGGTTTACTCTACCAAACCCCACAAAGACCCTGTTTACGAAAAATCGAGCCAATTTTTTAACAAAGTGGACACATAATACTAGTTGACTTGAGCATTAAATCGTGATTGAACATTTGAATTGACACAAAATCAAATGGCGTGTCAGACTAGTTATCAGCGACCACTTTACGTATGTGATTTATGGAGATGGGGTTAATGCTTGTTGTCCAGTGACACGGCAAGCAATTGGTAGATGCATTGTCGGTATAATTTGAAACCTCACATTTGAACGCGCCAAGTACACGCGCATGGATACTTTACGGAGGCAGCATCCCCGATTACTTGGAGCGGGCCTCACAACGTGAGTATAGATTGGCAAGTGTACCATGTACCTGGGTTCCAAAGATGCTTGACCAAGTAAATAGGATCCGACAATTCGGTCAGATCAAAATGACTCCACGACCAAGAAGCCTTAGGGAGTTGGAACTAACCATACCGAAATGAACACGGATCTGTTTGCAAATGTGACAGAGTCGAAGTAGACGCTACTTACTTGACAGGACGCCTGTAATTCGTTAAATCCGAGCTGCAGGCAGTAGACGATCATCTTAGCGGTGTGAACGCGATTTATTTCGCGAAGTTTACCCAGGGTCGATTTCATGACGTCGCCAAATTCACTGTAGAAGCGGATGTAATGCCTGTACAGAGGAGCTGCCGATTTGATTGGAAGGAGATTGTAGACGACAAGTTTGCAGAATCCCGCCAGTTGAATACGTCGCTCGTGTAGGGCCTCGAACTTGACATTCTCATCCTCCTCATCCTAAAAACAGCATTAAATGAGATCGCATTAAACATACTTGGCCAGAGGCCCTACACTACTTGACAAGTCGCTGAGGGTCACCAACTCGAAAGCTGGCACAGAGCAAGGCGCGGAGGTGGTCAAAGTGAGTAAAGGAAAACGATCGAGATTCGGAGCTTACATCGACAAAGACGAAGGTTTCGAGGAATCGGATGAGACCGGCTTCGATGGCGGAGTCGGGGACGTAGGCGAGGGCCTTGAGACTGGGCTCCGAGACGGCAAGGTGCCGAGAGAAGGCGACCAGCAGATCGCAGAGGGACAAGTACGCCTCCGTGGCGATGCGCTTATTGTCACTGACCACCCACTTGGTGCAGAGGCACATGTAGTTGTCCAACATCTGACGAAGCTCTTCAATTTCCTCCTAAAAAGACACCAGGGATCACATGGAAACGTGTTGGCACGCCCCAGGCTGCAGAAAGTACCCACATGTACGTACCTTTGAGGGGTCGGGTTCGCTGACACGAGCCAGTCGCCACAGTAGGGATTTCGAACAGCAGGCGATGGCAATACCGATTATCTCCGAACTTGCCTCGTCAGGTGTACTGCTGACTATCCGAATAAGGCTCTGCCAGAGGTCCAGGCCGTTGAGGTCGTGACAACTGAAATGGGAACGAAGGTGAAATGTCCGTATTGACACTGGGACCAGTGGGGTTAATCGTAACGGGCGCACTGGGGAAAGGCGGCAACTTACGAAAAGAAGGCGTACAGTCGCTTAAGTGCAGAGATAAGGTGAAACTCGTCGTCGTCATCGGGTTCATCGCCCTAAAACAGACGCAGTAAAGTCGATTACTTGTTAAAGAAGGAGACTGTGATCACGCAAAAGGAGCTACCACCTTGACAGTTGAGCCCAGGTTAGTGAGCATACTATACTCCTCGTAGGCACGCAGACTCACCTGTTCGTTGAAGTAGTTAAGAAAGGCACGGCGGTAGAGGTCGGAGAGCTTGTCAAAGAGGGTGCTTTGGACGGTCTGGCAATTGGCGGCGATGCTCAAGTCCTCTTGACACACGGCCTCGTAAACCCTGGAGCACGCTAGCAGCGTCTCTGGATCGGTGTGTCTCTCTACTATCCGCTGTACACAAGAGAGTAACAAGCAGTTTTTCAAATATTCAACCTCGAGAACTGGTAAATTTTCCTGTCTCTCGATTGAGTTTATTCAAAAAAAGAAGGGCAAATCGAAGAGGCAATATTGGGCGAAGGCATTACGATTCGTCTTGGGTTGACTTTACATAGAACATAACTTCACCACTGCAGGGTACATTAAGCCACATACTACCTTACCTCACATTCGCGAGGTTAAAAGCTAAGAAGTTATCTTGAAATACAGTGAAGCAGCAGTGAATGCCGGAAAAAGAGCATTCGAATAGCACCGGAGAAAAGTACCTCAACACACTGCAGGAGGAGGTCAAGTTGGCGTTGGTGGCGTCCAGTGGTGTAGATTTCAAGATCCATGTAGCGCGGTATCTGGAGGAGGGAGGTGGCTCGGTCAGCTGATTCGCCGAACCGGGTGAGGAGTGGGTGGAGGGCGGGTATCATGGCCTCCGTCATTCGAGCGCGGGCCTCGGCAAGCGCCTTCGCCTCCCGCGCGGACAGCGCACCGCCCCGGCCAACGCGCGGCACTGCGGTCTCCCCAGCGCCCAGCACAACGGACGACGAGGAGTGCGATCCGGACTACAATGGGCAACAGGCACCAGTTGGGCGCTAATTCAGCAAGTGTTCAAGAACAGACCCACCACAAAACTAGCCAAGTCACCACCCTAGAACCTAAAGAGGTCCTGTGACGCTGTAGCAAAAAAGCGACAATAGACGGTCATTTTGCATCATGATCCCACACCGAGGGAGAATGGTAGACAGTAGACATGACATATAGGAAATCTATTGGTACACTATAGTTTGCGTTCTACATTTGCCTGACTTCAGCACTAGACGTATCGAGGCAGTACTTTTTGTCTGATTGTTGTGGCTGCCATGCATGCATGAGAAAAGCACAGTAGTCCAACAACGTGATACCAAATCTAAATGTTTCCCAAGATAGTGGGATCACGGAAGGGAAAAAGGTGTGGAACTACTATCAAGGTATGCTGAGCCAAGCAGAGGATTTTAAGAGGACAAGAGCGAAGACAGACTCACCTGTCGACCAACTGGACTCTCTCCTGTGGCAGCCTGCTGCACGCAGCAAACCATTATTTCAATCAAACTACTCTCCTGATTCGCATCCAAGGGTTCCTCATTCTTGCCTGGCTCCTCAATCAACAGGTCAATCATTGCCTCCCAATCGCGCAGCATTGGAGCAATTTCCCACAGACTGTCTACGAGGTAGGCAGCGTGCTCGTGCAACTAGACGTGGAAAGAGACGCAGCTTTGAACGTTGACTACGTGTTCAAGCAAGAAGGCAACTAAGGAGACTCAAAGTGATCGCCCTGTACACAAAAAAAGTGGCAGTACGAAAGCCTACCTCACTCTCGATGAAAAACTGCACCAAATCACGTATAAGGGGCGTGTTCTCGCTGCGCTTTTTGCCTTTCTTTGTCCGCGTGATGGGAGCGTTGGCGTCAACTTCGAAGAGCTTCAAAGTGAGGAATTCACCAGCAGCTTGGGCAAGGGGTCGGTGAGTGCAGTAGACGAGCTCATAAATGTTCTCGCAATCCTTGTCTTCGAGCTTCGACTCAGTGTGTCTTTAACAACACAAGAACAGAGTTCGCCACAATGCTAGCATCAGGATCAGAAACTACTGAGCTGGTTCGTCATAGTTAAACCAAAGCAAAACAATGCGAGTAAGGAGATGGCGAAAAGAGCTCATATGTATTAAGCACAGCGACATTCTGTAATCGCCTGTCCGTTACACTAAAGCATATCAAGATTCAAATAACCAGTATCCACTAGACAGAAGGTGATTTAATGACTTTAATGATACGTATTATCCCAAGAATACAATGTAGCAATGATGCACCATACCAAGCTCCTTTTTGCGTTCCACCAACAGGATTACATACAAAACCACAAAAGAGACTTAGGGAATAAAACACGGATAATCTGCCAAAACCGTACCCTGAATCGCTTACCAAAAGGGCCTTACGTCGTCGAACATTTAAAGGAATTAAAGATCCCGTACCCATTTAGCTATTCAGTTAACTAGTAAAGCGCGTTTATCCCAGAATACGGCAATGCTGTGGTGAGTTAGATTTGCATATTCAACATTGACAGAAACCACACCAAATCTATTTGTGTAGGATGCAAGAGAACTGTAAATTTCGAGACAATGGAGACACTTACTTGAGGATACAAGAAACAACTTTGACGGCTTGTACTGCGACTTCGAGTTCTTTATCCAGAGTCATATCAACAAGCCGCTGTTTGAAGCGAGAAGTGAAGAGGGACAAATTTGACACGAACGTCGCATCATCGTAGAGAGGCTGAAGGGCACGGAGGCACTGAAGCCGAACCTCACCAACCCGATCATAAAGAGTCCAACCAATGTACTTTAAATAGCTATCATCCAGAAACATAGCGGGATAACGTCGCATCCAGACACCTATCTCCGCAATACAAATAGCCCTGATCTCGGGTTGGCTGTCACGATATCGGTGAATGAAGACGCCTTTGAAAAGAAGAATAAGCATGTCCTTGACCTCCTTCATATTCTCCTCTAGTTCCTGTCGACGCGACATCAGCACATCTAGACGGTCATTCCCAGTGCCGGAACGCCGAGCGCCGTTGCCACCACCTCCGCGGGCTCTCTCACTTTCGTACTGTCGCTGAGTATTGTCGCGGTTGATACTCACGTTCAGCGCCACATCCACGAGCGCGGTCATCATCTTCATGGCGGCCAACGTGCTTGTGTGTCGGAAGGCGCGAACCTACAATATCAAGGAGACTGATGAAGAACGAAGGCAGCTAGTTGGGACAGCCACAAATTTACTGCCTCAAAAGTTAGCACAAGCAATGACAAAATTCGTTTCATTATTAAACAACGGTTTTAAGTATTCGGATGCTGCACATTGTGTGCAGACCAAAAAACCGAAAAACCATGCTTAATCTACTTAATTCCTTGAGAATAAACTTAATAACCAGACATAGAAATCGGAGCAGCGCCAAACAAACGATTAGTAACTTTACAGCGATATAATTACGGAACAAAATAACATCATTTCCGAGAGTAACACTCTTCCCGAAAAGTAGAGGTCGGTGTCAAACACATAAGACTACATGAAGAGGAACCACAAATCTGAGAGTTAAGTACTTACTGGAGAATCCGAGAGGCCTGTAAGAAGAGAGACAATTTGTTCTACCATGCATTGATCATAGATAATACTGTATTGGCATTGTCGAATCAAGACTTGGATGAACTCAACGAAGTTTGCACGGAACCGACGCCAAGCAGGACTTGATTGGACGAGTGGATACTCTCCTGAGTCTTCGTCAAACTCCTCAGTCATTCGCTTGATTATGTCGGCATGCGGTAGGGAGTTGTACATATCCAAAGAGACCTTGCCCTTGCACCCCGAACACGATATGAAGAACTGAACCAACTCCAGCATTGCCGGTGCTCGACTTGTCTTATACTGCTCAATCCAGTCATCCACCAAAGTTTGTGGAGAAGCACGACCTGAGCGGATAGCTCCATACAAAGTGTGCTCTTCCTCTTCAGGAAGCAAGCCTCTGGCGGGATCTAAATTGCGACAAGAACAAACAGGACCATTTAAAATCATTACTAGTATTTTATACGGCAACGCTCTCTTGAGACCAATGAACAGATTAAATGACAAAGTACACGGGGGTATTCCAGCTAAAAGACGACAAACAACCAATAAATTTTTACTCGAATCGATCATATTGATTACAGTAACCCAAGACTTCAAAACAAGTAGTGAAAGTTTAAATGTTTGACTTAATAAGCTTGTTGAACGCATTGCTTTGCATCAGAAAACATGTATCATTTTCAAAAACGATGAAACCTTTAACGTTGTACAAAATCCTTACTTGAGGTGAAAATTGGGACATTAAATTTACTTTTTAGCATTAACTCACCATTTTCGGCGGACGAAAAGAGGGCAGGTCTTCCACGTTTTCTTTTAACAGGAGGAGGGGCAGGAGCCACAACAGCATCTTTGGGCCCATTACTACTGTCAGTTGGACCCATATATTGCAATTGCTGGTCCATGGGAGGAGCGGAATTGAATTTTTCGGCAACCTGAACGGCCCCAAAGTAAGGCGACATCCCCAAATCATCACGACCTTGCGGAGATTGATTGTGTGAATATGGGGGATAAAATTGCTGATGCGAGGGATAACTCGACTGGGCATTTTCGGGTTGATTGAAAATTCCAACTGGGATATCAGTAACGGATTGGGCATGGTGAGGTTGCATTGTGTTTATGTTACATTGATCAAACTCTAAAGACATAACTTATGCCCCAAAAGTGATTACCTGTTGCGTTAATGGAGCGGTGCATAGACTGATCCTGGGAATTCTGCCCAATATAATGCTGACTAGAAGAATTAGGGCGGGAGGGTTGCTGGGGATATCGATTCATCATCTACGGTGAATTGAAGTATCAGAGAAGCAGAGTGTCAATCCGATTGAATGCACTGACATATGTTACTATGAATGAACGGGCGGAACGCTAGTTTAAATATGAGCACCTAGTAAAAACCTAACACTGATATCAATTTAAGGCAGGAATTAAACCGAGGCCGAACGATTTAAAATACGACAATACTTAACACCAATGCCACTCTCTACAAAATAACTAAAAGCCTATGCAATACATAGCACAAGCAAGTTGCAGTTAGACCGGCAATAATATAAGTCCGATTAACAGGAATATGAATAGGAGCACCAGGAAGAGAAACGACAGCAAAAATAGGCATTAACGTCACAGTTCAACAGCAAACCAGTAACTAAGACTGATTAAGACAAGTTAAAATAAAACAATAATAATAGTTGTCTTCAATGAAACACAACACTCCTGATATAAAGAATATTTACCACTTGCGGGTCTACGTCCAAGGACGCGGCCATACTAATCAATTGCACCAAAGAGGTCCATCAATAAAGTAAAACAAGACAGATCGACGAAAATGAATCAACATTTCATCTAATCCAAAAAATATTCTCAAACTTTTTATGCATTTTTTTTTCGTAAGCTTCATTAAGTTTGTTGATAATTCCTAACATGTAAAGGACTAGAGCAAAATAAATTTCGGATTAGCCTTAATCAACCTAATGATTGAATGGACCATTTATTCTAAAAATATTCGCAGGTTGTTCTAATAGGCGTAGTACATGCATTACATACATACTGTAGTACACATAAGAAAAAACCAAGAAGGTGTAGCAAATGTGCTGAGGTCATCGTTTCCACATCCATTTAAAAAAATTTGGAACTTTTTGGACGTTATGTTTTTCATTAATAAGTCCAAAGATATCAGAATTCCCCTACTTGCAATTTACTATTTTCAAGAAAATGCCTTTTTACAGCCCAAATATCTGTTCCCGATTATTCGCTCAATGGCGATTCAGAAGGTCAAAAAACACGTTTGAAAGCATTCCTATTGATTATCTAAACTGTAACGCAAAAATATTAGTTCATTATAAAATGAAATGTTTTTGCCATATTAACTTTTCATGTTAAAAAATTCTAAATATTTACGTTCACGATAACAATTAGTAATAAATTACCTTTCAAATGGAACCAAATTATGTCGTTAGAATTTGAACAATAATTCGCCACACATGTATTACTATTAAGAGTAGTCAAATCTGCTTTGGCATTAGTGGTTTTTACATGCTTCACATAGGAATGGGCTTGCATGAAGTTGACACCGATATGTTTGTTCCAAAAGTTCCTGTCAATTTTTCCTTTGAACATTATTTAATCTCTAATTTATCATGTTATGCTGAATCTGCAAAGTAATCATTTCAGTCTATGGTACTTTCAGTACGAAAGTAGCTTGCATTGTTCATCATTAATGAAGGTGAGGTGCCAATTTAATTGGAATATTTGATATTTGACTCTACAAAATATGGATATGTGGAGCAGAAAATCGTGTGGCCCACAATATAAGATTAATTTTTAAGATTTGTCAATTTTTTTTTTAAACCAATCAGCAACATAATATAAAGTGATCTAACGTCACGTGTAGTTGCATGAAATTCCAGATCCTGAGCTTGAGGGCATTGATTTATAGAGAAAATTGACTAGGTAGGTATGAAATTGATATGCAACGTTAATTGAAAATGAGAAGTAGTGCATCACGGGATAAATTATAAGTCAGATTTTCTGCTTCAAATCTGTCAAAGTATACTCGGTCTGTGTTTCAAAACAATCTTTTTGACATCAAATCTAATAAGTTACTTATAGTTTTGAATATCTAAAATTAAATTCTACGAGCTGATAGAGTTCCGGACATTTAATGTTTTATTCCAGAAAATTATTTTATTGAATCATTTTATTTTATTTCCATCTACTGTTGGCTTGGAGCGCGTACTTAAATCCCCCGCAATGCGTCTCTTTTGCCCTTGGATGCATAATGATATTTCTTAAGTTATAAATCAGAACGCATATTATTTTACCTAACATGTTGGAAGACCATCCGAAAGAAAACCCAATAAAGTCCTCATTTTTTTCTCGGCCACCTCAGTATCCACTGGAAGTTAATTCTGTTTACCGTCCTAAATTTTCGAATCTCGTGATAGACAAACCATACATTAAACCGTTTTACCTGCGCGAAGATAAGCGATCCCGTGGAAGAATTGACGGGACCTCTGTTGTTGATGAGGCAATTCCAACGACTGCTGACTTCAATTTGAACGAGTCCAACGCGGACGTCAACATCGAACCGAGTAAAGAGCCATCGCATATTACGGTTAATCAAGACATTCAAGGAGAAGACAAAAGCGAGGAAATTGAGGGTTTGGTTCATAATGATACATCTGAGAATGGTTCGACATTGGAAAGCCATTCGGTTGTTGAGTGTGGTTCCGAAAAGTCGACCGACCATGTGTCGTCCCAAGGTACTAGTGTTTCGGGGGTTGTCCCCACAGCACAAATAGAGCAGCAAAGTGTTACTGATGCCTCTGCTTTTGTGGAACCCATCAATTGTCAATCCATTGAAATAGGTAAAGAAGATGTCCCGAACAACGTCGCGCCTACTTTAATGGAGTTGCCTTCTTCTGTGTATGTCCCACCATTCCATTCGGTCCCACCTGTTATAATGTCCCAAAATTTAGCCACGTTCCCCTCAACGCCAATTGATTCTTTTGTTAACCCGTTGTTTGTGCCACAACTCTTTTCTCCCGTTCAGCCCCCAAAACCATTCCCAAAGTCAAAGTGCAAACAATTTAGTGTTCCATCAGCGTTCCAGGAAAACGGGCTATACGGCATGGGAATCACTCAAAATGGCTCTAGTAAAGAATACTATGTGATGGTTCATGTTGAAGCTGGAGCTACCTTCTCCATTCGTACTGGAGACCAAGAACAGCAAATACCTGGTGAGTTTTACTGATTCATTTTCTGTTACTTTGCATTTATTCTTATACTGAAAAAGCCTACTTCAGACACATCTGTGAACCATTTTATCAGCTAAAAGCCTTGAATTTAAAAGCACACCATCGTTTTTCAACAGTTTTGTGGGATAGCTATTAAAAATTACATTCTTATCGCGTTGTACTTTGGAATCCTCCCATGTGCGTGTTTGAACACCTGACTTATTCAGTCAAACCAGAGTTTGATATTATACACAGAACTATTAGACCAATAGACCTAGACCACCCCAAATGTTTGAACTTCACTAAGATACATCGCTAAACCCAACAGACATGTCCCTTTCATTGCATTCTTTCTTTGGTATGAATAGCTCGGGTAATTTACTTCATGGTGTCTTTTGTCAATTGTCCTCGTTTTGGGTTTGCTCATATTTGGCGTAACGTTGACTGCATTAGCAATTGCGTTGAAAATGTGAAAAATCGTGATGTCATTTAACCTAAAATGTTGCATTCACTTTAAAGTATTCGCTGATTTCTGACTTTTATTGTCAAATACTTATGTACTTGAATAAATGATCGTGTACAAATCATAAAAATTCAACAAAGAATTGCAGCTGTTTTTCGCCAATCAAATATCAGTTGTCAGATGCCTTGATTGCCTCTAAGTCATTGCTTGATTATCAGATTCTTCTGATCTGTGAAGCAAAAGGGTCTAATTGTTGCCTTTTCAAACACAGGATGCACTTTAAAACTAATTAATAACGCCAGCTACAATTATTGCCAACTGGTTTGATATTAAGAAGTGCACGATGTGAAGGATTAGGTTTTTTTGGACAGCCCATTCCATTTAGCCACTCTTCTTGTAGCTTAGCACTCTGTCATTCGTTTCCAAACATGTGTACAGTTGCCCCCCATAGTTGCAAATTCTGTAGTTTCACTTAAAATATTTAGGATAACAAAATTGCTGGAGCGACTTATTTCGCCCTCATGAACTCTGTCGATTATTCATCCGTGGTTGTTCTATTTCGCTCGAAGCAATTCTAGGTAGTATAAATCATTCTATTCTACCTATTCTATTCTTTTATTAGTTTTTATGTAATCTTGAGTTACAGTAAAAAAATTGTTTCTTTTTCTAACTCTTTTGTCCCCAAAATGTTATCACCCTTCAAGTCGCCAAATCACCTCTTAAACTTGAGTTCTTACTGTATGTTAATTCTTAAAACTACTTTTTTACTCCCTATTAAACGATTTGGGCTGCGACTTATTAAATCTCTTCATTTCGTAAATCCAACTGCAATGTTTACTTCCTTGTTATTTACAACTCCTCCGTCACGGTTGACAGTTTTCTGATGCCTCCACGTAGAAAAAAAAATTATCTGGACTTTTTCGCTGTAACTACTGATCTAGCTTCTTTTCCGTACACAACACAAATTTCGCAAGCATCCAAGACTTATCGCATTCTTGCCGTCACAACTGGCTAAATCGAAAATGGTGTTAACCGTGAACCACAATGAAACTTTCATCAACCCAATCAAGCATATGCGGCGACAAACGATCGCCTGAAGGGGCATTCAACAGAAATTTCAACTTCTACAGTGTGAAGTATTTACTCACTAAGCGGTTCTTGTCGGTAAGTTGGTCGAAATGAGGGCTCGAACGTGGAATCAATAATCAATTGTGACGGATTTTAATAAGTTAATGGACGATCGAGGGGTCAGTGCATGTGTTCTGAGCACTGACGCCGGTGCACGGCCTCTTACAAGCAAGAGAGAGAGGGAGAGGGAGTGCGCTGTCTTGTCTCTTCAGCAGCGCCACTTCGATCTGGCGTATCGTGAGGTCATTGAACGATGCACCATGAGCGCCTTACGTTCCTCTCAGTTTTTTTCTCCTCCGACGCGTATCGGCGAGCCCGCATTTTCTACTTTTTTTGCGGACTTTGTGTGTTGAGTCACGGCCCCTCGATCACACCGTGCTTGCTCTTCTTACGTTTTTCATCTTGTGTTGTCCATTCTTGACATATGCGGCAGTGTTTTTCGGTGCATCGGTGCTCTTACAACTAAGGCCTTGTTGGTTTTGTGCGAAATCTGCCCCACATGTCAAATGGCTATTTACCGAGCATTTCATAGTGGTGGCCAGTCGACATAGTAATAAAGGCTACAAGTGAGTTATTTGAGTCAGTTCTGCCGGTTGTTTGCCGAAATTACGAGCATTCCAGACTGTCGCAATAAACACTCTATTCAAGCCATAAAGCCGACTTCCATGCAAGCACACACATAGACAAATATTAAGAGCATTTATTGTTCCACCACAGAACATTTTCATTGTTCTGACACGACTGTGTGCTTTTCGGCCTCGCACTACTCAAAACTGTGATTTTGTCTTATTCAAGCTAGTATGAATCTCTCACAACGCGCCGTGGTGCTAGTTCTGCTTGTCAAACCCTCGTTGGAACACCCCCGAATCCTACAATAAATAGCACTTTCTTTTAGGCGCTAGGTTAACGCGTCCTGACAGGGGCTCCGAAATGTGCCACTTATTGCGCCTTCAAAAAACCGCGTTAAAATTTATATCGTTTCCGATTAGGCATACAACTTAAGGATATCGTAGGTAAGTGTAATGACGATGTTTGAGTCACGTGACGACTCGCGCACCAACGCGAGGGCGTGCACCCACCCACAAGTTTAATCAAATTAAAACGTGACAGAAACTCTAATCCGGATCCGTTTTGCACACGCCCTGCACGTTCAAGCCCAAATATTTGACCACTGTAGCTACCTGCTTTTTTCTGGGTTGTTTTTAAATGTAACCAAGTCCGGAGAAGGTCGCATATAACCGAGTACTTCCTCGTCATTCCGACTTCTGCTTTCGTTTGCATCGGATTGACGGGTCTTTCTGTGATCTGAGGTTTACGTCCTATTGTGGTACACCTTTGATAAGCATTTACCAGCTCAGGGTACCATCAGTGGCATAATTTTAATCTGTTCTTTCTGACCCATGGCTAATCTTTTTCCCCCTCAAATCACTTAGGCCCGGCAACTGTAAGACTGGTCCTCAATAACGGTCCACCTCTTCCCATGCCCATGCAAGTACCGCCAGGCCATTTGGTACAGCAAATCGTTGATGAAGATGGCGTTCTGACGCATGTCATCCTCTCCTCCATCTCCCCCTATCCCCAATTCAAAACGGGAACGCCGGGGCTCGGTAATGCCCCGCCGAACGGCCCACTTCCCCCCGCCAACCGATGTCCCGTTTCGGGACTCCCCCGACCTCGGTTTGGCGCCACCGGTGGTGTCAACGTGATCATCAGCCCCAAGACGTCTCCTGGCCTTGCCGTGGCCGGCCCCGCTTGGCCCACCACGACGATGAGGACAGCGGTTGGCGAGGTCGTCGCACCAGCTGATGCGCCTCCTGCACCCTCAGCAGCCTCGACGGAGAGGCATGGAAGGGCAAAGCCTGAGAAGCAGACTGTTGTCAAGACGGAGGCGACGGATGAAGTAAGTCCAATGGAGACACCACTTTCCGCCTGTTGATTCACTGCAAACTGTGTCTAGTTTGGGTTTTTAGCTGAGTTCGTAGCCTCATTGAATGGAGAAACACCACCAACCTAGAACTAATCTTGTTGTGTTTGGTGTGTCATTAGCGTAGAGCAAACATTGTAACAACGGTCTCATTGAATATGCAACTAACTTTTACCAATATGAAGAACTGTCTTATCAACTGCAAACGGCAACACTTCATAACACGCTTCTTTCCCCTTCCCTGCAAATCGCATTAGGCACCTCAAACCGATGACTTTGAAACGCATAATTGTCTTGAAGCTCGGTTCATAAGTTATACAGAAATTCATGGCTTTATTTCTCTAGTGTTTCCTGCTACTTGAAGCCGATGCTTTTCCCTCCTGTTCATCAGTTAGATCGTTTTTTTAACCAACCATGCTACTATGTAACGGATAGTGCAGATAGTTCTCCACGAAAGTTTCGTTAGAATAAAAAGAAGCTGCAATCATAAGCTATTGGCTTTGCTCGCTGTTCACTTGTGCATATCTCGTTTAAACGGGATATCGTGAAAATTTCAACAGGTCTGTGGACTTGTTCACACGTTAGGATCCATGAGTGTGCATTGATTGAGGCGTGGTATTGATTGGCTGGGTGTGATTTACAACTTTGAAAAATCGCTTTAAGTTAAACTCAGTGAGCAAATATTTAGACACCCTGATGAATGGATATGACAAACTCTAGGCCCCGGTGTGAACAACGCTCCCCCCCCCCTAACTGGAGGCTGTCTAAGCTGTTGACACAAGATTAGTAACCTGTGGAACCTCAAGAGAGCCATTGACGTGCAACCAAAAGGAAACTGCTCCTACAAATCACTGTGCTATGTATAATTGTATGTGTTCACATCTAGGAGTTTATGACTAAATTTATCTGCAAACTGGCAACCAAGTATGTCGAATCTCCGTTCACCTCCTGGCGACACGAAATCACTCAAATTACATTTCGTCAGCTCACAAACTGATCAAAGTACTTGTTCTACTCATCATTTGATTTCCTTCTTGGCGGTGGCGAGCAAATTTTTTAGCTCAAGTAACGCCAATAGCTGTAAACTGCGAAGTCATTCAAAGCACCTCACTCACTTCTGTCATATATTGGCCCCAAGAGTACAATTATGCGGCCGCCTATTCAGGCCCACCGACCTGCTATTTTTAACATAATCAACTAATGTGCAAACTGTCTGCCCCAATATCCTGATCTGGCTGTAGGAATTACTCCTGTAACTTCACCTACCGTCACGTAGACTTGCGCCCTTGAAATATTGCTATACAAGCTGCTAACTTCTGCTTCTGGTCCCAGGTTGTCGGCGTTGATTCATGACTCGGTAGAACAGACGGAGTTTCCTTTCAAAAGTCCTCGAATCCTGCGACTAAAATGGTAGACCTAGAACACCTAAAAGGCTCTGCCTCCGGCAGAGTTTGATGGCGCAGCTACGGGTGCCGTCGTCAGGATTGTGTATAAACAATCCAGAGGTGGTCTGATTAGTTTTCTCGTCCGTGCAAGGTCCAAAAGGTGTATTCTTTCCTATTTTGCAAAATTACTTGCTCTGTGCGTGTCCTTTAAACGCAGTTTCGAACACCGCGAATTATGGGGGGCACAATGGGTTTGCAGGGTTACGTCAGTAGGCTCTTGGGCGCATCTTTCAAAGCGAAAGCGTTTCATTGGGGCTAGCACTGAGTGTTACTTTAATGACCATCTGTTTTCCCTCTCTCACAATTTCGCATTAAGTCAAAAATTACTTTCCTTCATGTTTGATGACAACTCAAAAATGCCAGTTTGCCTGAGTGCGTTTCGTCACAAAGGCGACAAATGCGAGTGCATCGTTGCTTACTTTCACACCTTTAATGCACATTTTCCGTAAAGCGCCGTACATTTTTGCCGACTTTGATTAGTGCTACATAGGTAGCTGGACCACGAAAGTCTCTTTTCCTCCTTCACAACTCTGGTAGTTCCGGATTTTAAAGCAAAATCGGCAACTGGCAGTAAGAATACCACATCCCGTTGACATTCACAAACGTCAGCCCCATTCCCTTGTCATGTGGGCTGGAAATTCTAATGGCGCGTATTCTTGAACGTCGATAGTCAATTCATGAAGTACTATTTTGGGTTAAATACCCAACAGCTTGCCTGCAAATTAGGTGGAGCGGGAATTCGGCAGTTTCTGGGATAAGGTAGGGTCTACTTGTTCTCCTGCCTTTGACTTCGAAGTATTTCAATAAACACCTGCTTAACCATTCTACGTTCATGTTCGGGCTCGTCGTTTCCGCGAACCGGAAGTGAGTTGTACGTGGCCGTTTTCAACGAGATACACTCTATCCCTTCCTTCACAAAGCCCATCCAGCCATAGGTCTTCATTTCTTCCGGTATCTGGTAATCACGCATCTTTCACACTATCCGTGAAACGAGGGTGGTCGTTTTTCGTGTGGAATATTAAAATGAGTCTCTGTTTATTGCAACACGCGGGCGTTATTTGCAGCATAGCTATCTCCCGAGGATCATTCACTGTAGTTTGAGATGCCTTTTCAAGGAATATTATCCGGTCCCCTGTAACCGCGGCACAAGCTGTAGAACTGTTTTTCGACAAATAACCAAAGTCACTAATTGCCAATGTTAATTTCTCGCATTTTTTTCGAACACCATGGGGCTGAATATGTAGCCCTTAGCTGTGAAAATGAGTTAGTATTTCAAGAGTAGGGTAGTACGGATATTAGCATTTATCACCCCCACCCGACCACTTAGAATCCTCAAAATAATTACGACATTTCACACCCAACCCTCTTGTTTCAAGAGGCCTGTAACTGATTTACGCCGTAGCACTTTGTAATCAATTCAAACGCAAACTTCTCGTGTGCGTGTGTGTGTGTTCGCTAGTCGGTGATGCCATATTTAGGTATCATCCGAGCTCCAAGTTCTGATCACACTCGGATTTGGGGTTTTACAAGGTCCAAAGACGAACACGCGCTGCGTCTCTGCGTAAAACGGCGTTTTCCTACCGTGCGAACACTGATTTGCCCTCAAACACCCAGTAGTGAGATCCTTTCACAAGATTGACACTCACTACTAGATTGCTTCAATCCACTAATTGTGACAAGATCAGGCGAGCTTAAACGCTTGTTGTTTATGTTTTTTTTGTTATTAGAGGCATTCAGCTTCCGTTTGGTTTGTCCCTACACCCACACTAAGTGTTCGACTTCCGGCCGACTCTAGGTATAATTACAGGCCTTACACCTACACTCCTTCAACTTCTTTGTAACGGTGACTGCTTTCACACAACTTTTGTGAATTATTAGAAGGAGGCTTGGTTTTCCTAGCTGTCATTATTTTCTACCAACACCGATCTCCCGTAAAAGTGTTACAGGAATGCATTCATAGCCAGGAGGAATCGCGCTAGTGATTGAAGCTACGCGGTCATCGCCGCAAACTACTTGACCCGACTGAGTCACCCCTTTCAGCCGGCCTTGAGCCTCTTCAGTTGTGCTTTAGACAAAGTTCACGTCCGTTGGTAACGGATCCGTCGTTGCAAGTAGACTACGCACAATTTAAGCGGATGAGCCTCACACTGGAGACATGAAAACTCCTCATAACCAAAGGCCAGCCCACCTACTGACAACATTTTACTTCACATGAATTAGGGCTCAATCAGAATAATAACTTGGAATGCTAACTAATCAGACTGGAGACTCCCTTTTGGCGTGGATTGCTCAGTGTGACTAAAATAGCTTGTCATGCATCGGCGGTCGCTCCTGAGTTTAGATTCGCACCGATGCGTTCTTTGTGGAGAAGGATTCAGGCATAAAAGGATTGTGCCTCATCACAAAATCAGTCGGCTACTTGAGCGCTTTTTTTTCTGTGGACCGTCGCAGCCCATTCAATATTCAAAGCAAACATTAAATTTGCGTTAAGTTCACACTGCAGTTTACACTAGCTGTTAATCACCTTGCGCGGCACATACAACTAAGTTTGATGTTCAGTGCCTAGGCGTTCGTATGACTATGTGTGGCTTTTGATTTGTTTCGTGTTGAGGAGGGGTAGTTTGAAATCCGAGTAAGTTGAACACATCTGAGGGTGGCTACTTAACCATTCCTATTTCCGCCATTTATAGCAATCGCAAATATTTCTGCCTATATTTGAGAACAACAAGTTTACTTAAATTGGTTTTGTCCCTGCCGAAAACCCTTTTGTTTACTGTCCCCTCACACGGAGATTTTCTGGTGGGTGTCTGAATTCGGCAATCACTCAGTGCCGGTGCCCCGACAAATTTGAAAACCGCTGTTTTACGCACATATACTTTGGTACATTTAGAGCTGCGCAAAATGTCAGTGCTTTGTGGGATCCGCCGGCACCGTTGACAACACTATGCACCCCACAAGTGAGATGTTTCACCCTCCAGTTGGACGCACCAGTAATCAGTGTCCACCAAACCATCCGTTTTGCGCGTCATGCATTAACTAAACACGGGCTCAGGTGGAATCATTTTTACGAAAACGGCGTATCTGGTCCTAAACTAGTTCATTTAACTTACATGCCATTTATCCTGTTTTTTGCAATTACAGAGTCTAATGTGGGTTGACGGCCACCTCTGATAAGCGAACCACGTATCACCGTCAGTGTGCCATTCAAATAAGGAAACACTTTGGGATTTACCATGACAATTATTCGCTTCTTTAGTAACCCCTTTATCACCAAGCTATCTTCGCCACACTATCGATCCTCTTTGTCATTGGTTTTGAAGCACTGGATATCGGTGCCCCTTTAAAGCCTTTGTTAGGTGGCAATTCGCAGGCTTTTTAGACCATCGTGTCGAAGTGGTTCTCGCGTTGACTCCTCATGTTGCTATTCAAAACAGCATCAATCTCTAAAGATGTAATTTGCAAATTGAATCACACAAGACCTTTCCAAAGTCAGTAAGAGTAGCTAAATGACTATGTTTCCATCAACTATTCAGTACAATTGTGATAATTGCACTTATGAGGGAAACGTTGCCTCGATTGTCACAAACTGGCCTCTTCGAAGGCAGGTGCCCGGGGGACTTGACTCGTTGTTTCAGTGAATTGCTCTCCTGAGTTGTCGTGCTAGCTAATCCATGCCATCAGGTATCAGTACTTTCGGTGATCCGCACTTTTTATAGACTTGTGGATAAGCAAAAAATAGCTAAATACGGATATCGGTAAACTGGTTTGGGCGTGTTCGCGTTGACCGTGGGATGGGTTTACGAGAATTGCGTGCCCACAATTTGACTCAGCCACTGCATGGAAGGTGGAAAACAAACGCAGTTTTTGCTCTCATGTGATTTCAATCTCCCTTCCCTCATAAACGTCAGCATCATTAAGGTCACACACACCGCTGTGAACGGTTGTAGTGGGCAAAATCTTGTGGATTTGTGCCTCCCAAGGCCACTTCGGCAAAACGTTTACTGGATTCACCGATTTCCTTTGGTCGTGTTTATTGTCATTGGTTTAATTGCTATCCACGCTTCTAGTAAACGCTCTGCGGGGCCTTTTTCTTGAGCTAATCTTTGCGTGGCCAAACTTTGCATCATCGACAAGGCAACAGCTTCCGGCGCACTTACCCAAATACCAACCCTTAGACAGATTTAAAAAAAAAGTAGTGTCTTAATTGAGTACTATTACTTGTTTACCCTATTTTCAACACATTTTCCCTCTCCACAAACGAAGAGGGAGCACTGCTGAGGTGTTTTGGCATTTCCTTTCTTCACATGTTCGCTTGGTGAGAGGCAGTGATTGCGGTGTTTTCATTGGACCAGCGAGATTTGAAGAATGAGCAGTTAAAAATTAAAGCGTCCTTTGTGTGATTGCAAAAACCTGGACAGAAGGCTATTGAGTAAGCTAAATAAACATTTGTTTTTCTCAAAGTCTTCTGTTTTAAGATGTGCTCAAACAATAACATTTCCATTTAGTTCCTTGATATTAAATGAAACACTTAAGACAACCGGGGTTGAATAGAAAAGAAAGACGATCCACGATAATGTATTGTGTTGTGTTTTTTTCCCTAAATGAGGTCATCGTTGATTACCTAATTTTGTTCACGGCAGTTTCATTCAAGTTACACATGCCTTGCGTGTTTGAAATGCCTCCTAGCCATTCGATTCAACTCATTCCATTAACGACGTTCCCTCAGTAATGTGTCCATAATGCTCGTTTTAAATCACTACACCCAATATCACAGTACTTTAAACCCAAGCACTGATTTCTGCCATTATAGAAACCCTCTTTCCAGCTAGCCAAACCTGGCACTAAATTAATCCGAGGTAATCAGGAGGGTTATTTTCACCACGCCTATTTGCTCTGTCCTCTTCCACACCCACCACCTTTATGTCTGCTCAAAGCGAGTAGTTTTGACTTCTTGTCCAAAACCTGTGATCCTTTCCAACACCCTCCTCTCCTTTCTGTGATGATTTCGCATTTCCCCTCGTAGCAGTCGTGTTTTCGTTTTCCCCAAAACTCTACTCGGTGTTTATCTCTTGTGATGGATGATTTTATGATGATGAGATTAAGTCTCCTCGTTGTTTAAAGTAGCTGGGGGCGTGCAAGGTGATTTTATCTTGATGTTTTAGAAGGCTCTAACGAATGAAATTATGGCAACCCACGATTTTATTCTCCCTTCTCTCGAAAGAAGGCAATTAATTACCGAGAGCCCATAACTACGAAGACGAGCCACACAACTCCAGAGTTTTGTGCTTCTTTTCTCTAAGAATATTTCAAATTGAATTGAAAGCCCTGTGCACACACTGTCATCACATCAATTTATTTCCTTTTCGACAACTGACCTTACAGTTTTTTCCCGTTATCGGCGACTGTGGATGTTTACTTCCTTACTGGTATGAATCGAATCATGTGTCGTCGTAAGCGCGGCTACGTAGAAAAATTGTGCCCTCTGTTGAGAAGTGAAATGTCCGCAGATGTAAACCGTGGTTTTTTTTCGATGACAATCCCCCACAATTCGGTCTAAACCAAAATTATGCCGAAAGGTAATGCCGTGACAGCCTGTCATGTGGGTGGCCACACAGTCGACCATCTTGAAGACTCATTTGCCTGAGATGCGCGTATTTTTAATCACACTTAATATCTTATTCGACTGTTTTTCACTCAGTTGATGGCACCTTCCCTAATTTTACCATAATCTATTTTTTGTCGAAGGCTGTCTTAGCCTTCCACGTTGAGGGCAGTTCGCTTTTTCCAAGTAAACTGGTAGTGGGATTGTGTAGACGTCGAAGTTTCACTCCAACCAATCCCTCCATCGTCCTTCTTGATTCAAGGCAAGACGACTGAGTATAATAAAAAAATATTTTCGGAACGAATAATTGAAGTATGAGGGAGTAGAGCACGTATTCGGGGACACCATCTGGACGAAACGTCCTTAACCTGTTAAAGTGACTATGAACCAATAATAGGGAGTGTCACGAACTGCGCCAATCCTCTCTTTTCAACTAAAATCTGCGCGATTTGGAGTCGCTTTCTTTGAAACACTTATTTAACATTAGCATTGTTCAGGGTAGGTGCTAGCATTAAATTGCTTCATTTGACACAGACATCGGTTCCCATAAGTCAACATTTCAGGTAGCCGAGAGCGCTACTACCGATTCGAATGTCCAACAGTACAAACTTATTACAAAATAATTTCGCGGAGTTCAAATCAGTGCCATTTAGCGCGTTAAAACGCCCGCAATCTCGGGATTCGGGTGTATTGCGGTGCATTCACTGGAACCGTTTCTGGAGAAGATCATCTCTCGATGTGAATGTGGGATCAGTCTAAACTTAACTATTTTGAAAAAATTGCATTAGACTTCCTCAAAAAACTACGGTGTTTAGTCATCGTCAGTCCATTTGGTGGGAATGTACTGGAATTCACGGCGGAACGGTTAAAATTTAGCAAAACGCTAACTGCCGACTTGGGTACGAGGAGCTTCCCAGGCCGTGGCGGTGCATTCGTTCGTCAACAAAAAGAAAGTAGCATTTCAAAACGGCCGTGCGAACTGGTTAGCAGTGAATTCGAGATGCACTTGTGTTAATTTTGCCCGTCCGAATTACTCCCCAGAGCTCCAAGCCACCACATCACTGTCAAACACGATAATAACAATCGATTAAGCGATGTCTTTAAAACCACATCGACCTCTCCTTTTGTCTTCTTATTGCAGTTTTTGAATTCAAACAGTTTCCCAAATTGTTTAACAAAAGGGTTTAGGAAACATCGAGTTTTGTCAATCGTTACACTTAACTGTTTGTTTTGTGTTCCGATGCCACTCGTGATTAAAGCCTACGCACCGTTAAGTGCGTGGAGCACTTGAGCAACCACCGTCACTCTGTTAGCGTTTGTCGCTGGTGAACTTTAAATTTCATCTGGCATGTCTAAGTGTTTGATGTTTTTGATTTCCTCCTGAGTGTGTTTTGGGTTATCCATTAGTATCCGAATCACACACTAACATTCCCTAGACTGTCCATGTCGAAATACTGACGGTGACAAGCTTTCAGCTGTTTAATTACCCTGTGCCAATTACCTAGTCTAAATTTATTTGACTTAATTTTCACTTCGAATCTGGTGTAACCCTGTATGACGCATAATATTCCCCAAGGCTGATGCTCCTCGTGCCTGCCTCTGCACAACTTTACGTCGTGACCTCAACCATGACACTAACTGCTGCTTTCATCCACTCATCCACCCTTTGAAGTTTTTTTCATGATGTATTGTCTCATTTTAACGCTACTCACGTGCCTTAGTGTTCTTAGTGCCCTTACTTGATCCTCTCCTGTGTCGATTATGACGTCGTTGATTGGCGATCCTTTCACAATCTCCCAAACAAACCCAAGCACCATCGTATTACATTCAGGTTTAGTTAAAACTAGGATCAATTTGAATGGATGTGACTCACAATAGGGGTTGGTTGTAATAACTCAGTCCCCTTACTATTGGATTGGGTTGTGGTTTACAGATTACGGACATTAACTTTGTAATCCTCGCAATCTTAAAACAAATTGGGCAGCCCATTGTGCAATCTCGAACCCTGGGATTTTTCTGAACCTGATATCTCCCCTACAACGCCTGGTGACTCTTTTCTGGGCTTTTTTGGAGCAATTACGTAGGGCTTTATCTTTCTTCCCTTTTTACGATGCACTATGCCCCTGTAACCAAGGTTACGCATTCATCACATCATGGTTCGGTGTGCATCTTCCTTCCCATCTCGGGAATTTGCTCGTTAACCCCCAAGCGGCCATCGTTTGTACCAATTTGTAAATAAACTTGCCAGATTTTGACGAAGAGCGGTTCGCACACACTTACGCCTTCGGTATCAGTTTTCTCCAACTAAAATATTTCTGTTATTTCCCTTCAATTGCTACAGCTAGTGTCATGAATCTGATTACTTGAGAAGGTTCAGATAAGGTGGCATAATTATCCGCCACTTTTGGATTAAAACACAGCTCCACCATACCGTTGTGACCCAATACCTCAGTTGACTTGCGACCTGTTATGTGAGGTAATCTCTATTCGAGTGCGCCTATTTTACAAATAGTGAAATCATACTATATCTGAAGTATCTAGTTTCAACACATCAAAGGTTATTACAAATCACCTGGGTGGTCACTGTTCCACGGACTGGTTTCAAGTGATGTGTACACTTCATCACCTTAATTATTTGTGTCAACTGAGCGTCATCAAACCCAAGTTTACTTTGATAATCACACAATTATTGACTAAATATGTTCAATTGGCCAGGAGGAGGATGATATTGGTGCCTAGGGCTGCAACTAGGTCTTTTACAACTTCTTTGTAACTGATGGCATTTCTTTTCGAAATATGTCCTCTGCTAGGCCAACATTTTGACCGATGATGGGCTGGACGCCAGCTCGAGTAATGCTCTTTTGTGAGTTCAATTTGATAGTGAAGCAGCACCAGTAATGCGTTTGACTAGGAAAAACCCTCAACAAACCAACAGGTCAAATCAGGATTTTAGGTGCTTTCGGTGGAGACGATAGACTTGGGAACAAGAAGGACCAGTGTGTGACAACCGCTTTACCTCACCTCGCAACAAATTACCGCGGAAATAAGGTTGAAATCCGGACGCTGTTCGTTTCGTTGTTATTCCAGTTTATGAAGTCAGGCTTAAGCCAGCTTCCAAGACTCCAGTGCCAACGTTAGCGTTGCAAGTATTTCACGAATCGCCTAATTTCTGTGTGGTTTTGCTCGGTAATAAGGTCACGCACCTGCTTTTAGCGTACCATCATGGCCTACTTATGAATCCGTAAAATTTTCGGCAGTCCTGTCACAGTGAAGGCTTACTTTCCGTTGTGAACGTAAGCCTTATAGCGACAATGTCTTCATTCAGCAACTACGTTGGATTAAAATTCAATTAGAAGTGATGTGCCCGATTAAAATATACTTTGGGTTTGTTTATAATCATTTAAGCAAGACCTTGTTGGTTGATCATTTGCTGAATCCCCAGATCACTTCCTCAATTACCTCCAAGTTACACGGTACCATTCCAAATAAACTCAGTTGTGTTGAATTTGTAGTCTTTTACGTTTCTCGGACCTAGAGAGACCCATCAGCATAGTTGATTTCAGATTCCAGACCGGTAAATCTCAAATCGGTCATTTTTAAACTGAGTAGATGTGTTCTACACGTGCTCATCACCTAGCCCTCAAGACTCTAGTTGTGCATTGTCGCATTTTTTGAATATTGAGTGGTGGTTCTGCGGCTGCTACACACAACCACTCCATCAACCCTCGATAATGCCGATGATAACGAATTAGGCCCAGATAATTAGGGTTCTCCATACTGTTGTGCTGTCATTTTCGTGAAACCCAAGAGTTGTGAGAAGTGCTGTGTGTGAGATGGAGGCTTAATCCGGTGTCACAAGGGGGCGGTGAACGAACCCACCACGGACTGTCTATCAGAGAACTGAGAGTAGACACAAGTGAAGGGCTGGGTTCATAAGTAGTGAGCTGACAACTCCGTGCAGCCCCATGTGCTCCTTTTTTTCACTGCTCTCGAAGATGCCAAACTGTGTGGGCGGCGCGCGCGCATGCTCCATTGTCCGCCCACGCGCACTCATCACGCGCGCCCCGCGATAGACGGACAGGCGCTGAACGAGGGACGGACAGGTCGGTGTGGATCCAGCGCCTACGTGTACACCAACTCAACACCCGCCTTTTACTCCTTGACCTCGAAGCAACGGCGGTTTTCTTTACGGAACGCGCCGCTGAATTTATCGTTTATTAAGTCCTAAAGCCAGACTGTCCACCCGCATTTAGCGCACTTTTTGTACATTTAAAGAAAACGTTAATTTAAATCTGCCGATCGAAGCAACGGTCTGTGCAAACACTCTGGTCACACCAAAACCCAGTATTCGAATATGCGGTTATGGCAGGACTCACGTATGCGCAGATTTTAGTTCGATGTCAGAAGAATGTAGGTATTTTCACCTACTCTTCTTTGTAACTTCGCCTACGGCACCTTCGTGGTGTTTTGCGAAAACACATAACTCCGCTTTCACGTTGATAGTGCACGCTCGAAACACTCAGCCGTCTGTAAACTGCCCAAAGTGTAAAGCCTTATTCATCGAAAGTTGGCAACCTTCACTGCAAATTTGAATGTGCATAAATCCAGTCAGATTCGGTCCCATGATCACGTTGACATTTGATCGTTTCGCGAAGTAAAGCAATTTCGGAAGTCCACGGTAAAGCGGAGGCGTTGTTTGAAAACACTTAGTTGTTAGCACTTGTGTCAATAGTGCTGAGAAGTCACAGTGACACCCGGCCGGAAGTTTCCGTTTTCTCGTTTTAACGCTCAAGTGGTGCGTGACAACGCTCACAGCTTAGTTCCGCGTGAGCTATTTTAATCTTCCATTCCAGTTTGATGGCGCGAAGGGGCGATCGTGTTCACGCGCCGAAAGAGGTTCTGAATGTGCGGCAGAAACCGAACCCGGACGATTCTATTAAGCTGTAAGGTCATTAGATGAGCAAGATTTTGCCCAGATTCGGCACTAGAAGCTTTCACATCTCAATGCAACTATGTCGTCATGACGCCAACTTCTAGAAGTAAATAGCCTGATTTGAAATTTTAGTCAAAATTTACTTTTGAGGGCACGTAATGCGTTAGTGTTTAGGAAAAAAACTTGACCGTGCTCTCGCATTGCTTTTTTGAATCAAGCGAAAAACTCGACTTCATAAACGGGGAGAAAGCTTTAGTACTTTTAGGTAACTGGCTTATTTTTTGGGGCGCGATAAATCGTGATCTGATGGGCTGATTGAAACAGTAGAAATGAGATTCTTTGGTGCCATTCACAATCAATGCACCTCTTCAACTCAGCCATGAAGAGGTACTGCTGTTAGTCGGAATCTCCGCACAAAGCTAATTCTGTTGCTTATTGTGAAACTGTGCAATCCTCCTACACACTTACACATGTATTCCCTTCTTAATGACGCTAATGCTATTTATTTCAAACAAGAAGGAATTAGGCAATAAAGTAGGCTGACTTCTGACATTTAGATTCATAGTTTTTGTAGTAGTCTGCTAAACATTAGTTTTTTTTTGCAAAATGACTTGAGAATATCGGCTTGCGTGTTCATTTGCCCTTCTGAAACACCCGGTTCCTTCATCAGATTAATCCTGTTTGAAGAAACTAACGGACGCCGTGTCTGCCCTCCTGCATAACCGCCATCCGAGTCGATTTAACTTGTGATTCATCAAGGTCGGCAAAGCAGAGTCAAGTCGAAACGATGCTTCAATGATCTATACTACCAAGTGTCTCTATTTTCACTTTTGATAGGCATTGAAGGGGTCCCTGTCTTCGTCTTCGAGCAGTTCGAAGAAACAGTCGTCTTCCGCTTCGACGAAAAAGAAGTCGTCAGCCAATAGCACCGGTGTGAACGAGGGTGGTAAAAGACGCAGCACTGTTGCCAAGAGATCGTCAAAAATCCCATCAGTGGGGGTGACCGCCCCTTCTCCTGTCTCTGAGTCAACGTCCGAGAACGTTGAGAAGTGTAACGGCAAAGCATCTAGGACTGCGGGTTTGAAAGAGGCGGAGCCCGCGAAAGAGGCATCGATTAGCTCAAAGATTCCTCCTGGACTCCACGATGTACGTTTGATGTCTTTCGATGAAAACTCACACCTACGCATTCGCGACTTTACCACGCATCCAGGGCTAAGTTCTAGTTATCGTGGGACAACGTTAGGGTATCTGTAGCGGTCTAACCTAGCGACATTTACGTGCAGGCGGCTTCGAGGTCGTTAAAGATGATTCACACAGCGTACTGCTCTTGCACTCTTGCTGATTAATGGCTCAAATTCAACCAAGTAAAGTAGATCCTTGAAGTCACGCGCCCGTTAGCTTCCGGTGGTCAATCCGTCAATGTACAATCCGTCATTTTCGCCATCATAATCGATGCCATTACTTTAAAATTCCATGAAATTCTCCCAAATTTTTGCCTTTTTCGTTGAAAGTGTACCTGACTTCGGTCAACATGACACTCAATGGCCCGGTAAGTTTGCCTTCAAATGTATCACAGGTTCGCGTGATTCAGTACACTTGTTTTCACAAAGACGCATTCCTTGAATTGTTTTTGAATCCCAAACTATTTGTTGTGCGGGTTTATTTGTTTAAGTCAATCTTCTAGCACAATGTGGAGTTGGGCAAATGTTTGGTTACCTCGTCGAAACGCTGCGTGAGTTTCCTTGAGGGCGACCGCCCGTTTTACGAAATTAGAAAGCATTAGCAAATATATTTTCCATGGCCGTTGTCCGGGTGCAACCGTATCTACCCATGAGGCTCAATTCAACACCTGGAGGAAGGGCAAGTGTTCATTTGCTCGCGAAGTGTGCTTGTGCCCTCAATTAAAGGAAGTCCGTAACTGCTGGTGGTTTAGACGCTTCGACGTCTACATGCGTCTGGATGTGGGGTGTGATTCGCACACCTGATTTAACCACATGACGAAGCAGGCTGGCCTCTTTTCTTCCAACTAGACGCTTAAAGAAGAGATTGAACTGTGTGAGGACTTTTAGCCGAGATATTTCAGTACCTCATAGCGAAAAAATGTGCCAGTTGCCACGAACGTCGAAGGAGTTTATTGGCGGCCACAGAGTTCTCGAATTCTCGGTACATTCTCCTGTATACGAGTCAGTATCTCTTCATCTCACTTAACCACTTTTACACACCCTGTTTCATAAGAGGGGGGGTGGAATACTAGTGCCACATTTTCATCAAATGCGTCCTACCGCCACTTCCCAAAATTCTCTCTTGGTAACAAGTTGATAAGATCACACCCAACTGCTAGATTTCATTAATTGCGTCGATTAAGTCAGGGAGTATCAGATTAGGAACTATCTTGGACGCTCTACCCAAAGTAGAAATCGTCAACTTTCTGTCCAAATAAAGCACAAATGAGTTTCGTGTGTGCATACAAGACGTAAGTACTTACAATCCAGTTCGGACACAGCAAACTGGTTCGAAATAAGCCTCCAGTTGCTATGACCACATGGCGATTTACGTACCACTGGTTGCTAAGTTGCGTTATCGGCTGACGCATGACCTGAATTTTGACAGTCCAGGATGTGGTCATCTTGGGTGACCGCTACCACGGTTGATATGCCTTAGGCTGTGAGCATGACACATCGGCGCTTCGGGGTGAGGGAGCGGCGATTGGGTATGTTGCTCGAATCGGCTTATGACAACTGGACTAGGATTTCGGGAACTCTGTCGCCTCCCTTTCGTCACTTATTCCAACGGAGAATGCTTCCTGCCATGGTCGGAGGACAAGTCTCTGGGTATTTTCGATTGAAGAGTTGTGGCGCCTATTGGATTATTGAATGACCTAATTACGACGTCAGGTTAATCAAAATGTAGGTCCTTCGCAAAGGCAAAACGCACGTCGTTCTGATCCTGCGTTAACTTCAGCCTCGTTATTTACGTGCTCCCAGGGTGGCATTGCCCTCCATAATAGGGACGGGCGTCCATTTAGACACACACCACACACACACACACACATACACACGCGGGTGGTGGTGACGGGGGGGGAACGAAAGCGCGGAAATGGGGTTTGGGCACATGCGCTCACACACGCGCACTCCAACTTGCTTGGAACCACCTTCATTTACCCCTCCCGCTGCTACCACCGTGTCCTCGTGTTTGTAGGACTTCTCGTCGATTGCATTTGACAGCGCAGACGGCAGGCCGGTGACTGCGTCGACGCTGACATCGAAGGAGCTCCCGACGAAGGCTTCTGTGGACGCCAACTTGCCTCAACGCGCTGCGAAGCCTGTGAATGTTGTGCGACCTACCAATGGTGGTGAGTCCTGACCACGTTTTTGTGCTGTGCTTTTTTTTCAAAGTTCTTTACATTTCAATTTAATGCCTTCTCTCTACGCGACCACGCTCTAATGGCCAGTTCGCGCTATCTTTCATCCTATCTTGATGTTCACTCTGTTAATTAAATCGCCACCGGCATATTGGTTTATTATTAATGCAGTGCTACTCAAAATATTCCAGGAAATGATTTTTGCCTACTTGACGAAAATAAAATTGTGTGTTGAATGATGTTAGTAATTTTGCCAAGAAGTACGTGGTTCCAGGTTACGATCATTTCCCATTCCTGTGCGATCCTCTGCATATATCAGTTAAAAGTTTTGAAAACGCCACTTTATTCCGCTTAGATCTCCAAGTTGTATTTGAGGATCTACTTGCATTCCTTGAAATTTTTGAATAGCACCACTGGAAATTCTGTTGGACACTTGAGTACTTCGATCACCTCAATTTTATTTAAGGGTGAAGATAATCTGTGTAGATCTTTATGAAACTTGTGAGGAAATTGACATTTGACCTGTGCGTCTTCTCGTCACACTAGTGTCGTTTGCACAAATTGCTCTCGGTACTTGTTCAGCACCCATGACGCCCATAACATGACCCCAATCTGATGTTGCAGGGCGACCTCTGTCTGCTTTGAACGGTGACCTAACGCCAGCAGAAGCCTGTGAGCTGAAGGCGTCTCTGGGGAAGACGAATACAAAGCATCTTGCCTCCTCATTGTCATCAGCCCCACCACCTCCAATTCACGTTGCCGGTCAACCTGACAATGTTTGGACAGCTCGAAATCTAACGGTCCACGCCAACACCGAGCCGAAATCGTCGCCAGCACCTCAGACACCACCTCCCACCAGCCTTTCTGAGAAGTCATCTCCGAAGGACGAGGATACTGAGAAACCAAAGAACTGTTCCGCATCGACCACCTCCACGAAACTCGTAAAGTCTGGACCCTCGGAGAAGCGCAAAAAGCAATCCAAGGGTGGTACGTGTTGGCTAAGTTGCCAGCTGACATTTTTGGTGCCTCGGGGGCTGTATATTGTTTCACACCAAAATCGAAGTTGCCCATTAGGCCATTATTGCCATCAATAACAGGAACACCGCTACAACGGCTTCTGTGTGCAAAATTTTGTTTATGGAGGGCTGTGCCTATTGCCCCTCCCCCGCTTCCGCTTTCATGGTGTCCGTCGTTGCCTCCCTGCCTTGAAATCATCCTCCGCTTAATTCTTGTGACGAGGTTCGGCTTCACGTCATTTTGCTTTATGCTGTTTGTGTGTGTGTGTGCTAGAGGAGGCCTAACCACTAACGGTTGGTCGTGCTTCAAGTCAACGTTCCCGAGTGCTGTGTACTTGTAAATTTACTTTGCATAAATCCACCGTGCAATCTTGTTTAATACGACACTCAATGCCTAAAAATGAACACCTATTGTAGCAAGGTGTTTAAATCATTAAAAAAAACGCAAAAGGATCCATTTTTAGTTGGGTCATTGCTTAGCCAGTTTATAAAGCACATGATGCTTGCGTTGGCCGATAACTACTGTGCACTTTTTAACGAACGCATTTTTTGTACTTGGTACGATTGTTTGAGTTTTCTTCAATCAACGACGTAGTCTATATTGACCTCACGTGCTTAACAAATGACTCGACGCAACATAGCGGCTCAGGAAAAGCAATCTCATTGGCGGAGAGGCGTCCTTTTACAGCTCAAGTTAAATTAGAGAGATTAATTAATTAAATCCGCTATAGCTAAACGGCACTTAGAACCTTAGATGCGCATTCACCACACTTCGATGGAATTCGGTCAAATTTTTGTTGTTGTGAAATGTACTCAATCCACCTGATGTACAGTGTTGCCTAACTGCTATGACGACAAATTTTAACACAGCTGTTACATTTCAGTATTGTGGAGTCGCATCGTCTAATTATTTCACCAAGTTTGTCCTGACGCTGTTGCCTATTGAATAGTTGGTATCAGTGGTAAATTTCAATATTCACGTGAGCCTTGTAATTGGTGAACCGAATTGACAAACTCCCCACCACGTGTGATTAAGATGTTGACTAGAACTGATGCAAGGCTAATTGCAGTCTGTGTGTTTCGCTACACACGCGGCGACGTCGACTTGATGTGATCCACCGTCGAAACCGGTCTAACGAGATCAAAACAACGGTGGGTCACTGTACCTAGTGATCACTGAAACACACTAGTCTTTACTACACTTAAATGCGCGTCCTTTGATGGAATTTAAGTGCACGTTTTTGCATCTTCGCCAACTTCGCCTGAAAATGGGATAATTCTTCAAAATGGCACGGGGCACTGTCAATTTTAAGTTGACTCAAACTTTTTATCAAGTACTTTCCTGTTTTTTAAAAGTGCTTCTTGTGCGCCTATAAACTAGCGTGGGTCTTCACTTTTAATAAAGAGGAATGCAGTTATTGCTCTGTTTCGTTAAGTAAGAGCGTTCATTCGTGAAGTCGTTCGTTCACTCGTTCATTCGTGAAGTCATTATACCTCAAGCTATTACATACAGGAACGCTGGAAGTTTTTATAAACTAGTAGATGACATTGTGGCCAACATTTATGTTTTTAAATTAACAAAACCCAGTTTTAGCGCATTAAAATGTCGAAAACAACCGTAGTTCAGTTATCTCTGTATAGTTCGTTCAAATGGGTACTTTATTTCACTTGCTAGGTATTTTAACTACAGATTTTACTGGTTTATTATTCCTTGGAAAGCTAAGGCAATTACTTTAATTGAACAGACAATTCTCGCTTTCCTTTCATTTTTATCGGGTTTTTCGTGAACTTTGGGACGATGTTCTGGTCACCGTCGCCGACATCTGTTGTTCCTGTCTCCAGTAAGCTGCCGACATACTGAGTAGGTAAAAAAACATTCCCGAAAAGACGTTTACTAATAGCAGTTTCGGCCAAACCAGTCCACCGAATTGTTGGGAATTCAGACAGTGAGATGACGTTTCCACTCCTCCTAGTGACCGACCCGATTTCCAAGTGGTAAAGATGAGGCTCCTCCAGCTTCGACTGAGACCCCTCAACAAACACAGCGCTAACCGGTCACCAATTGCGTGCACGGCTAATTCACGATGCAACACGGCGATGTGAATCCCACCTGTATCGACAGACCGTCAAGTTGTGTGTTTAAGCGGTTTATCCTATTGCTACAATGTAATGAAAAATAACATTTTGGGCGTTGGAGAGTGACAAGAAAAGCGCTTGCTATCAACAGACTGCCTGCCAAATTGCTCTTGTGCTTTTGTCAAAAACAACTCTTCAACACATGCGAAATTCAGAATGTTTTTAGCCTACTCTGTTCGTTGTCCAAGTAGCGTGTCGCCAAAATTTAAAACTCGTGCATGGTTAGTCGATCTGGGCAACGATCCCAGTGACATCCATCTTTCCGGAAAGACTACAATAGCTCCGTGCTATGTGGCTCGCATATTTTGTGTGTTCCACATTGTATAATATTGACAAACACAGTTTGTTCGACAAAATAAGCATCAGAAGCCATCATAGAGTGCACCTGAATTGACCACTTGTAGTCTAGGGAAATGCCAAGGCATAAATCGCCCGACATTAATGGTATCCGGGAAAAGTAGCCTTATTCAGTGGTACATGAGAGGTGACGCAAGTATTAAATAACCCCCATCGAATCGGCAGCATTGGCAACGATGAAAGTCAGGTTTGTGCTTGCTATGACCAGAGTACTAAAGTGGCGGTGTGACCAGATTATGACTTACGCGTGCTCACAGAAGACTGTAGTAGCCAAGAGGAACTCTATTCTCCCTACTGTTCCATGCTCAATCTGTCCGATACTTTTGTTCACATTCAAACACAAGCCGGGTACAAGGTAATACAAGGCAGGATTAATATGTTGATGTACCCGGCGTATATCTCAGAATTGTTTACCTGATCGACCACAAACAAATTACGCAAATAACACCATAGTTGTATAAATAAACTAGAATGCCCCCCTCCACAAACTCCCTGTCTAAACAGTTGTCTAGTCAAAGCTCTTTTAGCTGGCTGACGCGTGGGTCGGACAGATTTGACCAACTGAACTGCATTTGGTGTTGTCGTGCGATTTCAGTTGTGTGTAGGTTTGCCGTGCCCGGGAACAGAATCTACCCTTTTCGGCTAAAAGTGCACGAATATCTAGGCAGATCTGTCATACCTCGACGATGTACTTGGAGATCCAGTTGAAATGTGCGCATCCCACTTTTACAGAGTGGCCAGTGAAAAATTTGGCCAAGAAAACCTATTTTCCCGTCATGGCATTGGGCTCAGGCGTAACTCCAAATTTTTGCTGATGCCTAATTTGTCTTCATATCCTCATCCGTGTTTTGGTTTCATTTTTTAGTATTTAAGCAGGCTGCTATGGTGCACTATGTCAACAATTTTAACCATGCTAGTTGGTGAAAAATCTGCTGATTTTTTTGTACTTCTATGGTATGGTCACTCTGTTCATGACTTTTCGCCAGTGAAGAAACCGATAGTCAGTAAGCTGGCATTTAAATGGATCTACCCCCTCCCTCCTGCAACGTTCCAATTCCTCGCAAGGATTTACGCTGACCTCTCTGAGGTGATGCAGGAGGTGCATTTTGAAATCGTAGACTAATCGATTAGTTGACCCACTTTGGCTGTCGACACCAAGAGTCTCGAGCGTTTTTGCTAACCAATCGCATATTTAGGTAGTTTGGCATCCGAACCAATTCCTCAAGTGATCTGCGCTTAAGTCAACAGAAAGCCCACTCACCTACCCAGTGCGGTAATTACTGTGTGCCTGGTCATATTTCAACTTTTAGTACCAGCATTAAATGACTTTAATTCCTACCAGATCGGCTCATCTAATAAGCACGTTTGTTAAAATTACTCTAATGGCGTTATTGACGAAGCCCCCACCTGTGCTAAGAGGTGTTCCTGTTTTGTTTGGAAGCCTCGTTGGTCAAATTGTTCATGAAACCGGTATAACTTGTTGAGTTTGCATGTAAATGAATTTTTGCTTGTTTACTGAACCAAGTCACTACCAGCTTATTTTCTGTCAGTAGCATTCCTCTTGAAGGCGTTTCGTCGTGCCGTTTTTGTCGAGTTTCTAGGCTTCCTGGGGTCACTGGCTTTCGGAGTTTGTTTACAAGTCCTCTTGGTAAGGAGGCTTATGAGATTCGCCCTCGGCTCTGCTCTCGTCTGTGCATAAAATCGTTTCAATGAGTTGCCTGTTCCACCCATTAAACGGTTTTTGGTAAAGCTTATTTGCACCAACTTGTACTTATATACGAGTTTAATAAACTGAGCTGGCTGCCTCCGTTAGATGAATCGCATTACGCAAACTGCTGGTCAGTTACTGTGATTTTTTTGTGAGTGGGAGGTCCAAGTTGGTGGATATTTCAATAGGCAGATATTTAAAACATGCGACCACTCAAAACACTGAGTAAATCTAATCCGTTGTCATTTACATCCGATTCGTGGGCTATAATTAACTCAAATTTTGACGATGGCCTCCCATTGGCTATATTTTAAGCTTCGACCTTAAACGGCCGAATGAAAAGCCAGATACGCCCACGCTAAGCGTCTGCTGACCCATCCCGTACTGCGGTGATAGCCAATGGCAATTTCCCTGATAGAAAAGGCATTCGAGTTGGCAGGGGTGTTACTTTAAATAAATATACTCAGTTCTTGGTCATCAATACTTCTCTCTTTGTTGTAATCTCAAGCTTCAGCCAGTCATCCACCGACATCGTTAACTACTCGTAAGTGGACAGTTGAGAGGTACCTATATTCTTAAATCTCATCTCGCACACTCAATTTCAAACCAAATCACGTCTTATTCGTGGGTCACGTGATTGTCGGAAGCGTAAATCTCGACTTCACTGTTCTCATCAGACCTCGTACCTTAGTCAATACTCCGGTGAACGTCTATTCACTTATTGGCTACGCTCTTACGTCCCTCACATTGTTTTTTTTTCCAACGTAATGATGCTCCTGGTGCGTGAACTAAACTTCGGCTGTGTTATAAAAGAAGTGTAAGTACGAGGCATGTACGACAGACTCCATCCAGTGGTGCTACTCCCCAATTCATCACCTCACCTACAGTTTCGCACTCGTTTCAAGCCCCGTTTAGATGTCGTCATTTGATGATACGGTTTTTAAAATTAAGCGGCTCGTATCAACTCCCAACATAAGTGAGTAACTTGACTGCGTCCCTAAAAACAGTTCTGTTCATTTCGTATCATTATGGTAGCTTGAGTGAAGTAACGGTGCCAAAAGTGCCGCATTGGAACCCATCCATTTCGACATTCCGTTCCCCAGGGCTGCAGTTCCTTTATACTTGAAGGTTTTGTTGAACGCCTAGGAATGCCACAGGCGTCTTCACTTTTGAGTAGATCGGTTTGAGTTTGTTTGCATCCAAGACGTTGCCAAGTCGCGATACATTCGAATCCTCTGAGTACACACCTTTGGATGTGGTCTGGCTTTTAAAAAAGTTCGACTTGACCGCATGCACATTTGGTAGACCAAAGTACAGTTTGATTTATTTTTATCCTTGGGGCCAAAGTACTTCTTGGCTCAATAGTCTGTACCTCTACCAATTCCTAATGTTACATATTATTGCATTCCTTCTTCACACTGTGAAAAAATGATTGTATCAATTCACGGCCAAACTACGTGATATGCTAAGTCAATAATCTGTGTGAGCATTAAACATTTGGAAAAAGTAACACCATAATTTTTGTTTTTGTGTTTTTAGCTGACAGTCTGAAGCAAAAAGTCGCGTCCTCAGCCTCCGAAGTAGGTTTAGGTGATATGAAAATCGCCAAGAAGGACCAGCATCTGGGAGGCAATCTTCCGGCTGGCAATCTCCCACCCGCTGCGACGGCAACTACTCTCGACGTGACGGAACAGGCGCCGATTTTTCTACTTTCACCAACACCGGGTACTTCGCACCCCTCTCAGCACCCCTATTACTTTGGTCCGCCCTTCTATGCTGCCGGAGGACCCCATCCCTCGACCTTTTTCGCCGCACCTCGACACACCCACTTTGGTCCGCCGGCGCCGTCACCGTGCTTCATCCCACCGCCGCCGCCACCATCCCACTTCCAGCAGACACATCACTCTCCCACGCCTCCTCCACCCTACTTCTTCTCGCCTGCCAACCCCGCGGCAGTGGTGGCGGGGACTCCGTACCTCTCCTTCCAGCTCCCTCCTCCACCAATCTCGCACGGGCTCCCAGCACACCTGCACGCTGGCGGACCCAATTCCGCCGGCACTCCTGTGCTTGGCGTTCCCCACACAATACCCTTCGTCGCCCAAGCCGCCACCGCCGGCGGGGGAACAATGGCACTGGGGGAGGAAGAGCGGAATGCGATTATTCAAGTGCTTTCAAAAATCGGGCCACCAGAAGTGAGTTGATGCTGCGCTTCTAATGTGCATTCGAGTGTTTGACAGAAGCCCTATCGGTAGCCAATCCGTTCTACACAAGCACTATTCCACCCAATCAGCGTCATTTTGCCTCTCATTCAGAGGTTACTTTACTTTCTAAAGCCGTGTGCAGCGGAAACGTATAAGTCTTTGGTCTGTACTCGGTCTTTTTCGGTTAATATCCACAGCCGATTTCTTCGCAGGTTCCTTTACAAGCTGCGATTCGATGGGACCTATCTTCTAAATGACCTAATGTGCTTAATGGCTGGCAGATGTGCAACATTAAACAATTAGTATGCCCATCTGTTATTTCCAAGGCATTGTAGAGAGATGAAGAGTTCTTTGAAGTGTTCTCGGCCCTGTTGAGCAGTCAAATTACTTCCAACCTGATGCCCTTGTAGGAGTGCAATTTTTATCGAAATCGCTTGTACACAGGGCCCGTAGACTGTAGCCAAACGGAAATCGTGATTTTTAATTAACGTTCCTTCCTGTGTATGAGACCGTGCACAAATTCTAAGTCGTGTTTTGCAAACGCCAATAAAATCCGACTCTTTTAACGATGAACCCGAAGTTAAAAAAACCACAGCATAAAAATGCCTTTCTGACACTTCTTGCGGTTAGAACTCGTACTGCTTTCGCCTCTTTTTTCACTGGAATCTCAGCTTTCACAAATCTAGCTACCACACACACACACACACACCATGTTTCTTTAGTTTCTTCATATTAGGTAACTTTCAACAATGGGAAAGTTCTTTTTGCCATTTATTCAACTGTGTGTACTTCGGTAGGGTGTTCCTTCACACCTTGTTATTAGGCCTGTTAACCGAAGTCGTCGATTTAGTCTCACTTTGCATTCTGTGTAGGAGTGAATTTGGTTCCTCTTGACGACGAATAGGTTTAAAACCTTCTGGCGGCCAATTACAACGGAACTCTCTCGAAATTGCTACCATGTATTTTGGTATTTGCTCTTGTAACCCTACCTAATTACTTTCTCAGCATTATAAATTGGCTGACCATCACTAGATCTGGCCGATTACAGCGAGGACATCTACACTTCCATAGTTTTACCACGAAAATCTTCCCATATTGACCCTAATCTTGCTAATCTGTTTCTCTGCCTCTTCCTTCCTCTGACTTGTATGATCACAAAACGTGGCTCTGTTGAGGTGGTTGGCTTAAAAGCGCCGCTTGTGGTTCAGGAGCAAACCAATATTGCCTAGTCAGAAGCTCGTTTCAGCTGAGACAAACTCTTTTCTAGTATGTATTGAGTTTCATTCACACAAGCCACGTTAGCGGAATAGGGATGTGGCAGTTAGCTTCGCCAGGCTGATTTAACTGGCCAAAATTTAATGAGAGTTAGATGACTAAGCCGGTCTTCGCGTAGGGCATAGAACTTATCAAGTTCCGTCAGGTAAATGTTTTGTTGATTTAATCTCCAGTAAATCTAACCCACTCGCCCATAATCGCACCGGTCGTGTCAGTCCATTGAAGTCAGCCGCAAATTTACATGATACTCCGATTTTAGTCGAATCTATAAGACCCATGTTTTTGTGTTCATTGGTGATGGCACTTCCGTGGTTTGTTGATGTTCATCATCTTTTTTGACAGTTTAAAAGGTACAGCCTATCACAGTACGTAGCGGAGACAGGAAATCTGTTGTTTAATTTATACAACTTTGATTTAGCGCCTTGGTCGGCACATCATCAATCGTTTTCTATCCATAAATTAAGTTTTCGAAGTGTTTATGACAATCGAATGCAGGTTACCTGCGCATCTCCACATAGCTGCTATCCAGGTTAGGCTAGTAAGTTATCACCGATTAAAGGAAATCACTATGACATTTCTGCCAAGTATGCCTTCAAATTTGCAGCCTGCAAAAATGTACATTTGTGATCAGTATTCCCTAACGTCCATGGATGCCACGTGTACTTCCACTGCTGTGGTGGATCCTCTGTGGAACGACCACGCCATCAGTTGGATAAGGCCACAAACTAACTGACCGTGCGTGCCTAGATTTCTCGCACACAAAACACCCCAGTGTAAACCAAGGCGCTTCGTTCTGCCACACCTTGCAACTGTGGCCTTAAGTGTAATTCGAGACGTGTTGACTTCACGCCACCTTCAAATTGCCGCGTTTTCAGCTTGGTTTTACCGGTTCTTCTAAAATCTTCGACAAAGCCGAATGTAGGGACTGTTAAATATCCTTGCATGTCGTTTTAACTGGTCAATGCAATATGAGTTGGGTCTGTAATTGTGCGTAACTATTTATGGCCGCCATTCGGCTACCAACATAATTATGTAACTATCAAGTCATCTGTGACAAACTTCCAACCTTTTTTGTTATGAAGTTGACATTCAACAGCGAGATCATGTTTTTTGGTTTTCTAGCCATAAGTTTTTTGATTTGTTTTATTACGTTTAATACAACTTTTCCTACACTGGTGTTGGGCAGGCGTTGTGGTATTTGTTTTTAATTCGTGCAAATTCTCCTCCTGTTTGTGCCGAACAAGACCTACTTCTTCAAGTCCATGTTATGTTGTAGATCAGCTCCGTGGACTGCCGCAGCGTGACCATCAACATTTCAGTCCCCGAGAATTTGTCCATAGGTGTTCAAGAGCAGCCACTCGAGGACACCTCGAAAGCCAAAGGAAACTTCAATGGCCATAAAGAAGAGTTCAATGCCGAGGAATGCAGTAGAGTCGGCGTTGAAGACGCGGACACCGTCCAGGCCTCCTCCCCGAATGGGCCCTCAGGCAGTGATGCCGCCGAGTGCCCACCAACGCCTTCAACTGCGAAATTGTGGTCGATTCCGCCCTCTGAACTCCGTTTCGCCCTCTACCTTGCCGAACGCAACGAGAATTTCGTTTGTGTTTATGTGTAAGTCCCCTGTGTTTGGTGTAGAGGGCGTTTAGCTTGCTCTTTTAGTGTTATAATCAGGCAAAATAACAGAAAGAATAACTCCCCAGCTGATTGGCAGGTGCCAAAAAATGCGTCTTTGTGCGTACAGTTAATTGTGACAAATGCAAACGACGCTGGCAATCGTTGATGTCTGTTTTCGTTAAAACAAGTCTCATTATTTAGCCAGCATGTTTTTGTTGTCTCTCAATGCTCGAATGATACAGACCAATCGTTGACCGATTCAAACGCAGCCACATTCGCTTGAGGTTGTAGCAAAGGCTATGCTATTTTAGTAAAGCAAAAAAAGTATAACTAAACTCACAATGGGCAGCCTCAAAGGCAACCCGCCAAATCAAAAGTTTGGCTAATGTAACGCTAACAATGGTAAAAGGAGTGCGGCGATTGTGGAACTAATTCTGTCCTGTTAGAGTATCTAGGCCGTTTGTTGCATCTCTTGCAAATCGACACCCGTCACAGTGGTAGAATTGTACGGATAATGCGAGTCCAAGCACGGCCCAAATAATATGAGGATTGTTGCTCGAATTCTCATTAAACTGGAGAGTAAAGTCCACTTTCGTAAGAAAATCGTGAGCTTCCTGAATAGTAAAACCACAACGCTAGCGAACGCAGCATTGTATTCAAATTGCCGTGAAAGTGTCATCTATTTTAAACTCTCAACGATATTGCCTTTTTTTCATTTTTAGAGGCGAAGCAACGTGCATTCTCCTGCAGGACTTGAGGCCAGGTGTCCAGTATAACATTAAGTGCGTGTTTTATGGTAATGTGTTTGGTATCTGTTGGTGCGATGCTGTGGTCCGCTTCTATCTAGGGTGGTCTTGTCTTCCTCGGGAGACCTCACCACTTGAAACAGCTGTCGGCATGGTTTAAACCGGCGTGTGCAGTCGTTGAGATACCCCAGCGCTTAATGTGCCACCTCCCAGCCATCGCCGCTGCCTCATTCCCCACACGAAGCTCACACACGCGTGTACATTTGTGATTTGGGGAATCTTACGGCCGTTTATCCCACTTCAGTGATGATCACAACCTTCAATTAAAGGCGCAAGACTCCGAGGCAATGAACAACGCCTATACAAACTGATTGTTCTGTTAAATCAGCCAGATGCGGCAATATAACGAAGTGTGTGTGCTGTTTCGTTGCAACACAATTGAGAGAGGCAGGCAGGCTGGCTGGCTGGCTGGCTGGCTGGGTTGGTGGATCCCTGACCAAAATAGAAGTCATTACGTTCACCCACACTGCAAATGTTTGTCGATCATTAATTTATGAAGCTCCGCGATGATGGCCAAACTATGTTGACCTCTTATTATTATTAATTACTGCATGCAGCATAAATAGCCCCAAACCCAACTTAACGGTGTGCGCTTATCACTTGAATCTAAACCGAAATACCGACTTAAAGGCTGTTCTGGGTGCTTTTGTACTTCATCGCTTATCGGCAAAGGTACTTTGAAGGTGCAATTAGTTGGGGTGCTAGTCTCCAGATTTAACCCAAACAAAGCCCTCAGACGCGAAATTTCGGCGGTCTCTTGGAGTCTCTGAAGGCATGCGGATTCGTTGCCTGCCGCTTGCACATCCGTGCAAGTCGCGACGGCACTTGTGTGCGGTGTTTGGCGCTGGCCCTGGACTAGCGGTGGGGTTCAGGTCACGAGATATTCGTCTCCCAGACAAAACGTGCCTGAGAGTTCTAATTAGTCATCAAAGCAAAGCTTTCGTGCTTCAAGGGGGCATCGCACGCAACCCACCTGACACGTTTCGACCTGTAGGCCAGCTGTGACCTTCTTTCGTTCCGCTCAACACGCCTGCTAACAACAAAACGACATATTTTGTAGTACTGTCGCAGACACTGGGATTAGTGCACAAAAATTAGACGCTTTATCATTTTTCACAATGACCTAATAATATCCAAATCGTATTTAAATATGACATATCTGCAATAACTCCAAATGCGCCCGTTATTATGATTCTCACCAGGGGTTTTGACCAGCGACTGTGTGCCTAATGGTGTTGATTGTGAAAATAGCAATTAACACCAGCTGGAATGTGCAGAGGTGGTGTTGGTGGCAACGATGTATCACAATCTAGTCGATTTTACTGAGAGTCGTGGTTTCTGGTAATTGTGCACAAAAGCCCATGTTGATTAAACTAAATTAATGCGTAACCCGTTCATATGGCATTATTACGCACATGTCAAACTACGCAATTACTAATAATTGATTATCAAGGTGCGTATGCATAATCGTCCACAGTCCTTACTACTATCAGTGACCCCAACAGCCTGTTCAAACGAGATAACTTGAACTCGGCAATCTCTAGTCACGTGTTTTGTGCCACGTCGTCCTCGTAACTCATGCAGGTGATTGACCGGGTAAGCCACCGGTCCACTCAGGCTCCGAGTGTACCCCAGGTGCTCATGATTTATGTACACGTTGTAACAGGGTGTTAAACATGTAGTTTACGATTTCTGTTCAACTTCTTGCTGTCGAGCTTTCGTTGATCGGCAACGAGGGACATTCACGCCTTGTGCCTGTTCGCAGCATAAATCAACTGGAACATGCGAGGCGGTGTCTTTCAGAAGCCCTCTTGTGTACGCGCCTAAACTATGCGGGCTAGGTGTGGGTTCTTCCTCCAACAAGCGAAATTTCCCCCAACTTTTTCTGAATTGCCCACCGTATAGCATTCTAGCAGGTCTGAACACACGCTCTGGTGTGATACACTATGTTACGCGTTCTTGTGATCAGAAAGTCTCACAAATCAGTAGACGGAGATGCGGAAGGGTAAGTGCTGCCACAACGTAACAAGGCTTCGTGATTGTGGAGGGGAAAAGCATATGGCCCTGGCGCAGATTACGGAATTGCAAGCTTGAATCATCGAGATTTGCTTTGTTCTGTTTCAGTTGAAAGTTTACTTTAACGCGTGCCTGTTCGTGTCATTGTAAATTCCCAAACTACCGGTTATTTATTTTTGTTTATCCTCGAAGGCGTCATGCATGTGTGACAATCATTAATCAATTCTTTTTGCCGCTACTGGTCTAAAATCAACCTCCGCGTTTATCCGCCAAGTGCAGTCGCCCTTAGTCATTACAGCAGGTGGCCGCCTGTGTATTCTGAAGTAACCGCATCCTTGCGATGTGCACCATCGTTGATATTTCTGTCGATCACATGCTGGCGTTGCCTGAGCTTTGTGTTAGTTTTAGCAGGAGGGGAATTTCAAACTCCCCCTTCACCTCCTGAATAGACATTCCTCATGTCTGAACGAAGGCTAATGGATTCACAGTGAACAATCACAATTGGGATGGAGTTAGGGTTGTTAAGAAGTTCCGCTGTCTAGGTGTTGACTTGTGTGTAATTGGATTCTGTCTTTACGAAGTTTCTATTTGAGCAATAGTTTATTTTTCGGAACATTTCGGCGTGTTATTTAATCACACTTTTAAAGCCAGCACTTAAAAAGAATTGAGATGTCATTTTTTGTTTCAACTCTCCGCCCAGCTTGGTCATGGGAGCCAACGTTTGCCATAAGAGGACTCACGACTCTAGCTCAACATTTTTTGCAGTTTTTTGCCTTTAAAGGGTTTTGAACTAGCATTGCGTAATTCCTTGTTCACCTCGCCTAACTCAGCCAGTTTTTGCATTGCTAAGAAGAGTGGTTTTTGAGTCAGGGCTTTGAGCTTCCATCCAGAATGATGCTATCTGCACTGCAGCCTTCATTTGTACCTCAAATTTTGATATTTCACGAATGAATGAAGTGGTTGCAAGAACAAGAATTATTCTTCTAGTATATGCCCCCTGAATTTACAGGTATCTTGCAGTACTCAGTACATTTTGTAACGAAACCCAAATACCTAAGTCGCTGCTTGATACTTTTAGCAGTCATTACGCGAATAATAGGTGTCATTGATTGACTAACTCACGATTAATGTCACTGCTAGGCATCTTTTACATCGCATTCTGCATTACACCTCGCAAGTATTTGGAGACGATGGAAATTCACCGATCAGCGGGTTTTGCTATTTGCATTATTTTCTGCCCGAGTGCGGTTTTGTTATCAAGATCTACGTCCTGGAATACTTAAATTTTGACAATAAAATGTGGCTTGGCGCAGCGCACTGAAGTCCATTTCCAGCCGCCGGTTATAATTCAAAACAAAAATGGCCTGCCAGAGCGTTAAACTGCTTGTCGGTTGTTTCATCAAACGGCCAAAAATTGACATTCTGAGTGTTTTGGTAATAATCTTATCTGTTTTTTTGTCTAGCAATTAGGCCAATTCCTCAGTGGGTTTCTCTACTACCGAGACGAGCTAATTTACAACACACTACCACTCGCATTACATCCGTGAACCTGATTGTCGTGCGCGAGTTTATGTTGGTTTGTTTGGATTGTTTGCCTCTGATGTCCGAGAGTTGTGGCCCCCACCAAAGGTGACATGACTTTAAGTCGATTCGGTTCACGCGCACCGCGGATTTCATCAGGTCGGTGTTTTCGGCCGGTCTAGTGGCTACGTTTGCGGGTTGTGCAGCAGCCCTTCTGACAACGCCTTCCACGTCATTCATGCTTGCGCCTAATCACAGTCGTGTGCAAGAATGTGTTTGTCATTTGACACTCTCAATCGCGAAACGAGCCCTATTTGCGTCGCAGATTACTTTCCCTTAAATCTTGGCTAACCACGTCACAGGTTTCTTCTCTTTAACTTAAATCTGGTGTTATTGGGTGTGCCTTAGAGCAGTTCTTCCCGAAGCCGTTGTATAAAGACCTTCCACTATCGTTCTGTCATGATCTAGTCATGCAAATCCGTTATGGATGTGCATTTCATCATATCCACGTTAGGCTCATAACAAGAGGGGTTTTTCCGCGCTAAATACCAAATGCAAGTGTGCTGCCTCATTATCCACAGGCTACAGATTACCTTATGAACAGTTTGTTTCCTAATGCAAAAACAGTGTACCTTCTGGCCGTGAGTCTTCAAAGATCGTTTTTGCTCTTTCAGAGTGTGCTGCATGTACGAGGGCCTGTGCGGTGGAATCTCCGAATCGACAGAGTTCGTTACTCTAGCAACAAAGCCCGCGTGTCCGCGTCCTCCGAACGTGTTCTCCAGAACCAAGAGCACTCTTAGCGTGCGCTGGGCAGTGCCGGCCGACAACGGGGCCAAGATAACCTCGTACTGTCTCCAGTATGCAGCGATTACAAAGGGCGGGGTAAGATGGGCGTCCTTATCTTGAACACAAAACTTGGGCTTTTTCACTGCCTCTCCACTAACCACAAATGTCCTTTCTCGGTAATTAGTGGCAGTCTAGAGGACGTTCTTCCTGTTTCGCTCAGGTGTAAAATTCCCGGCTACATTTATGGAGGGGGGCCGTTGACTGAGGCATCCGTTTGCACCTCTGACTATATTTTTAGGCATCTATTTCAGAATATCTATCCTCGCTCACACTACTTTAAGGACGAATCCATAACATGCATCCGCCTAACTGAAGGAGTTCTCCGCAATCATTACCTTTAGTTTGTCCCGGTTGAAGTAGTCTTTTGTAGCCAATGCTTCCTGCGACGAAAAGCTCATCATTCTGTGTGGAGAGCTGCGTCGGCTGCTCGTCAGCTCTGCCATGAGCTGCGCCTCTGCCCTACGCCGGACAAATCAATTAGGCGCGGAATTAGCCTGTTGTTCAGTTCATCCCAATGTAGGAAAAAACAAGCCTTACTCACTCGCACCTTTGCATAAATATGCATGCTGTTGCGTCTCGAGACAAAACTCGTGCGAAGTTTGCTGCGCCGTTTGAAAATTGCCACGGCCCTGTTGTTTTTGCCAACGCTGATAACATAATGTGTGCGACAGTTTGCACTTTACGCCCCGTTGTAAGTAATGTTCGTTTCAAAACAAAACTCAAAGTCTAAAGACCGGGGTCAGGTAATGGCTAAATCCGTACTGAGCTATTTATATCTGCGTGTGGGAAGAATGTGTGTGGTACGACAGAGCTTGAAACAAGAATTTGAAAGTGCCCCCCTCAAGCATTCTAGCCACCTTCCGCGTTATTTGCCGAACTAAACAACAGGAGATTTGTTGTATTTCTGCTACAATTGCAAATGAGTGTCAGAAAACACTCGTTGTCTGGATTGCTGAGGTCCCTTGTCTGGTAATTGGTTCCAAAGTTACCGCACCACATCATGCACTCTTGCCGCAACGACTTCCTCGCTCTCTCTGGCTATGAAACCGTCTCTGTGGTCATTCCACAATTTATTAAACAACTCGACTTATTCCATGCCACGACGGGTTGCAATTAAAGGTTAACGAGTGGCTCTGCGCAACTAACTCAAATCTGGCGCCAAACCCACCGGAATGGGCCGATTTTGACTGCTTATCGCCTCATTCGATCAGGCTGCTTTATCAAGCTATGAAACAACTGTTGTCATCTAGTGTGAAGCACAATTGAAGTTAACAACTGACAGTCTGCTATTTTTTTCGCACATGACAAGGTTGGTATCATGAGGCCATTATCTTATCTAATTGCCTATTCGATCCAATTCTGATCGCTCCCGAGTTTCATTTAGCAAAAATGGATATTTTTTACACACATATTGACATTAAAAAGAAAAAAGTCTTCTGCTTGATCATTTTTATTCTTAGTTGTGCCGTGTGAGTTAATCCTTGCACGTTGAATCAGTCCAATCACAGGAGATAGTGATCGAGATTACTTGATCGCGAGCTCAAAATCATGGCGAACTGAATGCTGTGCGGAGATAACAGTAACATGTGTTAATCGAGCCAGGGCTGCTAGATTTTGGCACATTATTATTCGAAATCCAACGGAACTTCACGATGTGGTGTTATTTTTGCTTTTCTAGAGAAAAAAACACTTAGTACTAAAATATGCGATTAGTAGATCCGGCTTTCTTGTTAGCTCCGTTATAATTCTTCTTACAGTTAACAGAAAATTGCCCGAGTTTTTGCATCTGTTTCTAAGTTGATGACTGCACAAGGATCTCCAAAAGATATGTTGACTTTAATAAATGTTCTACGCACTTTCGACGATGCTAAAGTGTTTGGACCCATCGATGCGTTAATAATTTACCGTCTCGACAGTTGCGCGTGGGCTATTGGGAAGTTGGGTAGGCAAGCCGGATTTTCACTACTGCAGTTGTTTGTCTTGCGAGGCATGTGGCATGTTTGAGGTTGTTAGGTTCAGTTAGGCAGACCGGGTTTTCTGGCAGTGGGACTCCTGGTGGCCTGTGACAACTAAGCAGTAGTTATGCCTGCACGGATGAAAATGCTGAACACGAGATTCGTGTTTAGGCACAGTAAATTCTGCTGCTGACACTTCCGTTTGCCATTCGCACTTTCGGTAGCTACTCCTTCCGAGCCCTTTTATTCAAAAGTGGTAAATATT